CCTCTGTGCCACCACTCCCAAATTGAATAATCTTTATCTCTGTTTAATGAGAGACTCCAAATGGTTTAGAAAAGACCTTCACCTGATTCTGGCAGATCCTGATCATCCACTCCATGGTGAGTTCAGGTTGCTTCCATCTGGACGCAGGTGTCTGCTGCACAGATGTAGAACGAACAGACTGAAACACTCATTCATCTCTGTAGCGATCAGGCTTCTAAACAAACATTGATGTATGGATGTTTTGTGTTTCTACTGACTGTGAAACAAATTGCTCCTTGGGGATAATGAAGCTTCTTGAACTTGAACTTACATTGAGAGGCAGCAACAGCTGCTTCTCTAAGGGTATTGCTGCTGTTTTTCCTCTTTGGCCGTGTGTTAAAACACACCTGGATGCTTCAGAGCAGCAAGCAGACACAACTGCTTTTCATAGAGATGATCAATTAATCAAGTACGTTGGATCAGCAGCACCTGGCTAATACTTTCCATTTGAAATCCTGTGGAAGCAGCAAGGTTATGAATAGGTTTTTGCACACAGGTTTTTAGTTTATTTTAGTTTTTGTTTAATAAATACTGACATGTCCAATTTGTGTTTTTGTATACTTAGGGTTAGATTTAAATACTTGGTAAGGACCAGATCATTTTGATTGTCCTGATTATTTAAACCATAGAATTGAAAAAGTATACTCCCCAATACTTGCCATGTGTGTTGGCGGTTACTGTGGAGAAAAAAAAGGTCGGTTTTGACCATTTCACCTTTTGTAAAGATATTTCAGTCTTATTTCTGCTGATATGATGTTGGCCAAGTTTAGAAAGAACACACATTTTCTGCTATAAAAGCATGTTCTTAAATCGTACATCTTTTATATGCCAAGCAGGTGGAAGAACTTGTGATGCTTGAACATAAACTAGATTTTTTTGTTGTTTAAGCTGTTCCACACCCTCTCGGATCAACACAGAGTGCTAAATGTTGACAGAAAATATGAAAAAGTCCCGATATTTCAGATCCTTCATCTCAAAGCAATTAGAGATCAGTGGTGTTTGATTGTATTGGCTGTCTATACTCAAAGTTTTTACCTTGAACTATGGGAGGGCTGAGAGTCTGTCCTTATCTGACCTGCAGCTGCCTAACCAGGCACTCCGTTCAGAGAGAGATGATGGGATGAACAGAGTTCCTCCTGCAGCATCTAATGTTTCAGGTGTCATGTTTTGGAAGCCACATTCTTGGATGTGAAACAATATTGTCCCTGTTCTTTAGTTTTAAACTTCAATGATCTTTCATTGCCAAGTGAAAGCACCAAAGGTTCAAAGTGAGACATTGAAGTTGGGTTTGTGATACTTTTGGTGTTTATGATACAGAAGGCCTGCAGTGTTAAAAGGATCTTCGACTACCTGCACATATTGACCTTAATAGGTTATTTCTCTATTCTACTGAAAACTCCTAGTTACTTTAAAAAATATTTGTTTATTAAATATTTCACCGAAGAACATCAGCATTATTTTATGAGCACAATGCATTCTGGGATGATGAGGTGCATCGGTTGTAGTGGAGACTAAAACACAAGGAGTCAAGGCTAAAAACTTATAATGTGACTATAAAGTTGTATTTTATATTAGTCATTATGCACAATATATAAGTTGAAACGATCAAACATGGCCAATTTGTGATGTTTAACTCATTAGGTGTGGAGATAACTTGATGTAAATCAAGGGTTGACATAAGGACATTTTCCAGGTTGTCCAGCAGACAACCTCTTGACAAATTTAGTTGTCCACCAAAATTTTTGGTTGTCCACAACCTTTACAGTAAAGAAGACAATACATCTCAAGAAAAAATATAATTTAGTTAGTATATTGCACAATATACAGTTTAGTATATACAAATGTTTTCAGTCAGCCATCTTGTGGACTGCTTGTAATTTCCAAGCTACTGAAAGGAAGACTCTTCCAGGAGCTGCTCGAGTAGAAACTCCACGTTCTCCTCATCCTCTTTCGCGTCATCAGGATTTGCAAGAGAGGCTCTTTTATCATATTTAATACAGGGATTAAAGCAGAAAAAAAAAAACTTCTGAATTTTGACAATAAAAGTTGTCTTGGACAAACAAAAACTGCTTATGTCAATCCTTTGTTTATATTACCATAACTCTGGAGCTAGCTAGCGCCATGTATATTTGCTCTAGATTCAATGCTATTATTAGCCCTGGAGCTAATGAGATAAATATATAGCCTATTAGCTCTGGAGCTAATGAGATAAATATATAGCCTATTAGCTCTGGAGCTTATGCTATTAGTTCTGGAGCTAATGTCATATATATCAGCTGTGGATCGAATTAAATTAGCTTTGGGGCTAGTATAAATTACCTCCAGTGCTAATGCTGTTAGATCCAGAGGTAACGCTATTTAAATTACTGTATTTCTGGGGCTAACTTCACAACTATTAGGTCTGTAGCTAACATGAAAGTTGAGTCATTTCTATAGTTTTCTCTATGCGCTCCAGTTTAAATTAAAGGGCTGAACATCAGGTAATGACCAAAATTAACATTCAAGCTGAATGGTGCTTGCAACAAAGCAACCTGACTACATCATTTACCCAGAATGCATTGCAGCATAAATAAAATTGCACTATCCATGTAATTAATTAATTATTTTTTCTTCTAAAATAAATAAACAGCCTACAGTGTTTTTATGGTCTCATTTTTATAGCTGAAGTATTTGTTTATCAAATAAGGCCTATTGTTCCATCTAGTTGGAGATCCTTTTAAAGCTTCATTATTCCCAGGAGTGGCTTGATGGAATGATGCCCAGAGGCTTTAGGTTCCAGGAAAAATATGCTTTTGGTATTTTTTGGTGTGATCAATATACTTGATGGAAACCATCCAGAGGATCTGACTTAACTTTCTTGTATTTTTTTTTACCTGAATCATGGAACATAAACTTTTAGTATTTTGAACCACTTTAGCCATGACTGCTTCAGACGAGTCGATGAGGAGGAGGATGAGCGCCAGAAACCATCTTTATCACCATCAAACTGGTTGGCTCACTATGTGAGTGTGCTACTTATGGAACTGAGTTTGGTGTGGCTCCTTGGACTGATGAAGTCCTTTGAATGAAAGATTAAACTTTTCTACAAAAAGAAACCATCCAGAGGACCTGACTTAACTTTGTTGGACCAGTATGGTACTTACACTTGGCTTCTGCCTGTTCCTTTTCAATCATAAAGGGTTTGAATATTTGTTTATTTATTTATTTGTTTGAAACGGTTCTTTTGATATGACCAAAATAAACAAAAAAATTCATTCATTCATTCAAAGTATCTTGTGGACCACAGGACAGATTTTAATGAAACTTGGAGAAAGCAATCATCAAATGAAAACTCTACAACTTATTAACAACAAAGTCCATGCTCAATAATCCAGGTATAAAATCCTATATTTTTCAGTCAGGTCATCTGGACAGTTTCTTTTTTTGTGCTGAAACGTTTCGCCTTCGATCCGGAAGGTTTCATCAGTCAAAAACACACACAACAAAACTGATTCTTCCCCCAACAGCTTACTCCAAAGTGGAACAAACCAGTTCTGCTTGTATTAAGATTGTCTCTTTGGTACGCCCCCTCCTCCATTGCCGGCCCTCTTCCTTGTTGACGGTCTTGTCAAACTGGTTGAAAACAACAAAGTCCATGCTCAATAATCCAGGTATAAAATCCAAAATTTTTCAGTCAGGACATCTGGACAGTTTCTTTTTTTTGTGCTGAAACGTTTCGCCTTCAATCCGGAAGGCTTCATCAGTCTACAACTTATTAATGTTTGAACTCAACTTGATTCAAGATGGCTGCCACAACCAACTAATATAAAACATGCTAAAGTTGCTATAATGTGTGGAAGTATCTTAGTCCCCCCCCCCACCACCACCACCACACACGCACGCACGCGCACACACGCACGCACGCACGCGCACGCACGCACGCATGCAGAGTACCAACTGATTGCACAAGATCTTTTTTCAGAGTTTTGTCAATAACTATTTGGAGTCAACTACTGTATGTCTGTTAGCAAAACATCTCATGAAGCACTGAATGGATTTTAAAGAGGAGATGAGCACTTTATGTACCTCTAACAGATTACCTTTTGGTTACAACCCAAGTCAAGTTGGTCTCTACTGCCAGCTGACCTGAGAAAACAGAAAAATTGCTACAATTCAGCCCATTTGACAGCTATTGTGCTAACACTTGGTGTGGTTGTAGCTTACTGTCATTCCCAACACATAACCCAAGTGCTACTTGTAGCATCTATGATCACATTAATTGTTGGAGTCAGCCTAACAGTGAAGCTATGTGAATGAACTCATAGCTGGTAAAGCTTCATATTTGTGCATCTGAACTCTGCACGTCAGCTATGCATTAGCCTTCGTACAGCATGCCTGCATGTTTCGAGGGAGCGCTGAAGGGTGGGGACAGGGAGGGGTGCTTTCCCATTTCACAGGCGCAGGGCTTTGGAGAGCTCCAAGTGCTTCGCAGAGGAATTTGTTTACTTGCGGCGGAGCTGCAAATAACTGCAGGGTTTATATAGGGGAGAAAAAAAAGTACTTCCCCCTCCAGGCAGCCATACAACACAAACAGAGCTGTGAGGGGGGAAATACTGGCTTGTCCTATGAGAGGACAACCACTACACATGTTCCACATGGCCACATGGATCCCATTACTCATTGAAGAACTTTCCAACAAGCCCTCGCTTCCTTATTCGTACTTTGGCAATTTGTCTGACTTTAATGGACCTAAAAACATGTTATTAATCTTCACCGCATTGGCTTCTTTGAAACGATGTAGGAGACGTTTGTGCTGAGCCATGTTTGAAACCAGGCCAAAGAGTCTGTATGTTTGACCCACAGAAAGAATCATCAACCCGTATTCAACTCAACTTCTAACATCTGGCACTGTGGCAGATTTGTGCATTATGCCCATTCTTTATATGCGTTTATTACATTGCACTCTTCTTTTTTTCCAACAGGCATTTGGGAACGCAAAGACAGCACATAATAACAACTCCAGTCGTTTCGGGAAGTTCATTCAAGTGAACTACCAGGAGAGCGGCACTGTGAGAGGGTAAGAAGTCAAGGGCAAACATGATTACATTTTATTTTTAATGTGCTTAATGTGTTCTTCTTATTTTCAGAGCCTATGTGGAGAAATATCTCTTGGAAAAGTCAAGACTGGTCTATCAGGAGCACAATGAACGGTGAGCATTTAACCACAAATCAAAATGAGATGTCTAACACCAACCGCATCAATTATTAAGCAGGAAGTCGAAAGTGAATTAAATTGATATTAAACATACTTTCATCTCTGCAATGCTTGTTTGATTTTTAATGTTTTTAACCAAAAGCAGCAGATTTATGTATGATGTATGATACTTGAGCTGCACTTTGCCGAAAACTTTTTTTTTTTTAGAGAAGCGATGCACATCTGATTGAATTTAACTGTTCGACTTTGCCAAAATGTGGCTCGTGAAGAGAGTTGAGCTCCAGGCGTGACTTGGACAGTGTGATGATGGTTGATCTCACCATAGGCAGCTCACATCTGGCCTCTTGTACTCTTCCCCCTCTGACACTGATGGATTTCAGACTTATAAATGCACGTACATCTGCTGAAGTTAATTTGAAGTGGATCTGGGTCACATATTTTTAAACACTATACATTTATCTTTACAAGCAGTTGGAGACTGGCCACAAAGTGTGGTAGATGTCCACAACCTCCAGTGATGACCCAAGTTTTACTTGGTGCCAAAGATATTCATGGTCCTAAATTGTTTTGACCAAATCCTATTTCCTAACAGTATCCCTGAAATCTCAGTGTCATTTTTTTCACGGAAAGTGAAGTCATAGGAGGGAGTGGATACAATGTCTGTCTACAATGCAGGACATCTCTTCAAGAAGCCAGTATGGCCTCTCCGTCTGTCCATCCATCCAACCATCCATCCATCCATACATACATACATACATACATACATACATCCATCCATACATCCATCCATACATCCATCCATACATCCATCCATACATCCATACTTACATACATATATACATACATGCATACATACATACTTTCATCCATCCATACATACATACTTACATACATACATACATATATACAGGTCCTTCTCAAAAAATTTGCATATTGTGATAAAGGTCTATATTTTCCATAATCTAAAGATAAAAATGAAACTTTCATATATTTCAGATTCATTGCACACCAACAGAAATATTTCAGGTCTTTAATTGTTTTAATACTGATGATTATGGCATACAACTCATGAAAACCCAAAATGCCTGTCTCAAAAAATTAGTATATTTCATCCCACCAATGAAAGACAAGTGTTTTTAATACAAAAAACACCAACCTTCAAATAATCATGTTCAGTTATGCACTCAATACTTGGTCGGGAATCCTTTTGCATGAATGACTGCTTCAATGCGGCGTGGCATGGAGGCAATCAGCCTGTGGCACTGCTGAGGTGTTATGGAGGCCCAGGATGCTTCGATAGCGGCCTTAAGCTCATCCAGAGTGTTGGGTCTTGCGTCTCTCAACTTTCTCTTCACAATATCCCACAGGTTCTCTATGGGGTTCAGGTCAGGAGAGTTGGCAGGCCAATTGAGCACAGTAATACCATGGTCAGTAAACCATTTACCAGTGGTTTTGGCACTGTGAGCAGGTGCCAGGTCGTGCTGAAAAATGAAATCTTCATCTCCATAAAGCTTTTCAGCAGATGGAAGCATGAAGTGCTCCAAAATCTCCTGATAGCTGCTGCATTGACCCTGCCCTTGATAAAACACAGTGGACCAACACCAGCAGATGACATGACACCCCAGTGACTGTGGAAACTTGACACTGGACCTCAAGCAATGTGAATTCTGTGTCTCCTCTCTTCCTCCAGACTCTGGGACCTTGATTTCCAAAGGAAATGCAAAATTTACTGTAATCAGAGAACATAACTTTGGACCACTCAGCAGCAGTCCCAGGCTAGATGCTTCTGACGCAGTCTCTTGTTCAAAAGTGGCTTGACCTGGGGAATGCGGCACCTGTAGCCCATTTCCTGCACACGACACGTGCACGGTGGCTCTGGATGTTTCTATTCCATACTCAGTCCACTGTTTCCGCTGGTCCCCCAAGGTCTGGAATCGGCCCTTCTCCACAATCCTCCTCAGGGTCCATCCATCCATCCATCCATCCATACATACATACATACTTTCATCCATCCATCCATCCATCCATCCATACATACATACATACGTACTTTCATCCATCCATCCTTTCATCCATCCATACTTTCATCTATCCGTCCATCCATACATACATCCATCATCCATCCATCCATCCATCCATCCATCCATCCATCCATGTCTGCATGCATGCATGCATGCATGCATCTTTTCATTATCCATCCTTTTATCCATCCATACTTTCATCCATCCATCCATTCATACATCTTTCATCCATCCATCCATTCATCCATCTATTCATCCGTCCGTCCATCTGTCCATCCGTCCGTCCGATCGTCCTTCCATTCTTACATACATACATAAAGTAGAAAATAAGTAATTACTTACATAAAATTTTAACGTACTTAAAATTGCACATTTTAAGTTTTTTTTTGTTTTAGTTTTGTTTACCTTAAAATTATCAAATTTATCAGCTTTTAAATCGGTCCCTCTGCTTCAACCTCATGTGCTAAAATGATACCAATGATAAACTGCAGTTGGAGGGCACACAAAATCCTCCTAAGGGACGGAAATGACCCAGAGGCTGCACTTTGAGCTCTTCTAGCCTATATGGTGATCAATGATCACAGGTTTGGTTTTGCTTCTATCAGGTTTTTTTCTTATTTTCAGATAATTTCAAATCGATCAGTTTTCATTACTGTATGTAAGACCAGCAATTAAAGGCCCATTTTAAGCACCGTCTTACAAAACTACCTTTAGTGTGGGTGAAAGGCACCTGGGTTGTGCTTTGGCTAAACTTATGCAAGAAGGGGTCTCTGCAGGCAAATTCGGAAGGCGTATCTGGGCGCTCATATCTGATTGGACTATAGGAAAGTGGGCGTATCTGGGCGGTCATATCTGATTGGACGATAGGAAAATGGGCGTTTCTGGCCGGCCGGATCTGATTGGACGATAGAAAAATGGGCGTGTCTGGACGGCCACATCTGATTGGACGATAGAAAAATGGGCGTGTCTGGACGGCCACATCTGATTGGACGATAGAAAAAAAAAGACTGAACGATGGAAAAAAAAAGGCTGAACGATAAAATGCCGTAACCACAGACACATGATGTCTAAAAACAAGGTGTTATTGGCAGATTGTGTTAACCACAGGCATATTATGTCTATGGTGTTAACCGGTTCGACATTAGTGGCGTCTCGGTTCGACATCGCTCCAGTATACTGCCGCGGCGTCTCGGTTCGACATTGCTCCAGTATACTGCCGCGGCGTCTCCATAACTTCTTTTTTCGACTCTCTTAACACAGAACTTCCGGTTACATTTCAAAATAAGAGCAACATAACTGGGTAGTGGGGAGAGCTAAATGTTAGGTTTTTTTTTAATACCTAGCCATAACATTAAAAAAACAAATTCCATTTTGGTTGTTGAAAAATGTGAACAAAGTTACAATCGATTCATAAAGAAAGAAAAATATTAATGATACTTAAACTGGCCTTGGGACAAAGGAGGTTTCCTTTAACTTCACATTTTCTTGTTCAACCTGCAGTCACTGCAGATGAGTGATGTCAGTTTCTGTAAGATTTCTGCAACTGGAGCAGGTATTCTGTTTACTGGTTAACTTCCTCAGCTGTCTCACATTTTAAAGGTCAACCCTACTCCATGTTTCAGTAGAAAACAAGCACATTTAGGAGTCAGTACATAACCAGACTTTTGGCCCTCACACCTGTACCCAGTTGCTCATGCTGCATGATGAGATCAGATTTATCCATATTTTAGAAATTACATTTAGCTTAGTCGACAAAACAATACAAATGAAGACCGTCTTAAAAACCCTCTTGGTTTTGCAGTAAGCAGCCTGATTTCAAACTGACATCTTGGCCAAAGGTAAAATAAAAATCTTTGTGTTCTCAGAAAAGTTGTTTCAGGACCTCCAATAAACTTATGTACACATCAAAGCACACAAGACAGATTCAGGAATTCTCTTTGTTTTCCAGATTTCACATTTTTTTATTACCTTCAAACATACTCAGACAACATTTGATGCATCATTGAATTTGTTTTATTGTGTTTATTGGGACATCCATTTTTAGAAGTCATCGTAGCATCTGTTGGAAACACAGAACATAGTACAGTTAGAGTGTTGCTAGTTGTTACTTAATCCTGGATTGGATTTTAAAGTTAATTTTGATATTTTTTTCACAAGGAAAAAAAAAGTTGATTTCCTAAAGTTTAACTATAAATGAAGGAATTTGTGCATTCAGGTAATTTAAAATTAAGTAATTTCTCTAACATCCAACCCATTTTAGCCACTGAGCCATACCAAACACCCATAATCTATTCTTGAATGAATTATTGACTATTATTGACAAATTACAGACTTTTTATTGAATAAGTTATTACTCATTATTGAATCATTGACAATTTACACTCATGTTTGTGTTAACTCATGTTGCAACAAGGTCAGCAACTTTTGACTATTACTATGAACTATGTTAAACTTTGGAGGTGATTTATTTTGAAAGTCAACATCAGATGTTGGTCAACATTGTTGAGCAACATCTTGGGGTCTTCTAGAGTCAGTCTGAAGTGAGAGTGGTTCCTGACATGGCAGAAAGACATAGATATAATTAACAGCTTTTATTTATTTATTTTTCAGCTAATAACAACTTTTATTTATTTGTTTTTCATATTTTTCAGTTATACTCAGCTTTTAAATATTTATTTTTCAAGTATTAAGAACTTTAATTTTCAGCTTTTATTTTGAAAAGCAACACCCAGTTGTTGTACACGTGCACAGTGAGAGCTGCTGTGGAGGTTCACTTTACCTCAGTGCGTTACGACAACAACGAGAGAACGGTCGAAACTATTGTGACCTACAATAAACGTACTTCAATAAAATGCATAAGTGAAAACATAACATACTTTATAAGTACAATAAACCATATTTCTTTGTCAAACATCGCAAAGAAACGTTACCTCATCAATAATCCTCGTGACTTTAAGGGTTACCCACAGCCAATCAGTGTTCGCCGCCGACAAACGCCTATTAAATACTGTTAGCCAATCAGTGTTCGCCGCCCATAAACGCCTACTCGCCAGAAACGCCCACTTTTGGTCTGCAGAGACCCCCTTCTCAACTTATGAGTATAAAACTTTTGTTTGTGTATTTTATATGTATGTTGTATGTATTTATGTGTATGTATATGTATCACTCGGCGTGGAAATACACAATGACAACAGATATTCAGACTTTCCTAATGACTTTGCAGCTGACTGAGCAAAATGAGACAAATTAAGATTTTCTTAACAGCTGAATTTGAGTTCCTAACTAACCATTTGTTTTCTATTCCATACCTATTTTTTTTTTAGAAACTACCATGTATTTTACTACCTGCTGGCAGGAGCAAGTGAAGAAGAAAGAAAAGCCTTTCACCTCAAGAAGCCTGAAGAATACCATTACCTCAGTCAGGTGAGAGCTTATTCCGTGTAGCTGATTCAAAATAAAAGAAACCGGTCAACAAGAAAACCTGATTTATCCTGGACCATCTGCTGCTTGTGTTGTGATGTGTTTGACATGCTTCTTGTTTATGTGTAGAGTTGTGTGTGTGTGTACTTCTGTCATCAACTTGTCGCTCTCAGTGTCCAGAAACAGGAAAGTGAGAACCCGGGACACAAAGGAACCACTGTTGGCGACTTTTCAACACTTCTTTCACAACCATGACAGACCTGCACCATTGTTTCAAAAACACACATTTTTTTTATTATTGTTTTGAGTATTTGTGGGCATCGGAGGAGCTTTTAGTCCTTAAATTACTTCTTTTTTTTTTTTGACCAAACAAAGTAAGGAGAAAAAGAAGCACCTCAACATTTGTCCCTTTTCTGCATCATTTGGGGTTTGCCTACTACAAAACCAAACGTTGGCACAAACAAGCACATGTTAACCATCTGAATGGAATGTTCTGCAAAACTTGTCGCGTCTTTTGCCTCCAGGCTTTCAGAGTCACGCCATGACAACCAGAGGCCTGGTCCCCTCCTTCAGGATCCTTGTGCCTACGCAGAGGAGAGCAGGGAATTCTTTCCATTCCTCACAGCCGCCGATGTGCACGCACGCACACACACACACACACAGTTGCACTGCGTTCATACCCGTCCTCTCCTGTAAGTCTTCATCCTGAGTGGCCTCTTCTGTAAGGCTCTGTGTTCGGTCCTGCAGCAGCATCCTCACCTGCGTGCAGTCGGGATGCTTAAAAGTCAAGATGGCATGTTGCAGTTGTGCCTATTATTTTTACATGTTTTTTTTCTTGGTTGTTTTTCTCCTATTTTATGAAAACAACATATACGTTAGCATTTTAAACCATTTCTTCCACCACTAGAAATAATTATCGACTTTTGTGCAGAATCAACATGTTATTTTTACTTTTTTCCATGCTTGAGTCACAGCCATTACAGCTACTCTGCATAGCTTCTGGATTAAAATAATTCAGGGATTTCAAATTATTAAATTGGTTTCATTTCATGGTTTGATGTTCACAAAAGTCAGCTCTAGATTTCAGCTGGATATCAAACAATCCTATTAAAACACACACCAAGCAAGGACATGAGCTTCAACTGTTATAAGATTTCTCGCTGAATCAAAGACTGTCTTATGAACCAAAATGAAACCCATCTCATGACTGTCTATTAAATTCTTAGACCAGATTTCTTTTTAAATAGTTTCTGTGGCAGTAGGTTAGACAAACAAGGCAGGCACTAGGACCATGGGCACCCCTCTCAGGCCACGTTGTGAAGAAAGCTTTCCTCGGTTAGAGGAAGTGCTTCTGTCACATAGTTATTTATTTAAAATGGAACAAAATGCCAAGTGCATGTGGTAATTTACTAACTTTGATGCTGAGAAATGGAAGTTTGACCAGTGTGAACAACTTTTCTCTGTGATGAAAATAATAATAAAAACTAGAGAAACTGCATTTCCTGCAAAAATGCAGCGTGGATGCTTATTGCAGAAGAACTTGCTGAAAAACAGCTGAAATTAGCTAAAATACATTCTGAAATGTAGCTGAAATGGAAGACAAATTTTAATTTAGCAGAAGAATGCAGAAAGGACATATATTTGCTGAATTAGGTTTAAACAAGCAGAAATTAGGACAAAAATTTGGAAATTAGCTAAACAAAAAAGCAACCCTAAAATTAGCAAAAGAAAAAAAAAAGGCTGAAAATTAGCTGAAAGGGCAGAAAGAAGCTTTAGCTACCAGCAAGAAGTGGAAGGAGCTGAAAGGAGCTAAAAAAATGTGGCATTAACTAAAAACAGTACCAAAATGGCAAAATAGTAGCTTAACGAGCAGAAAAAACTGAAAGGAGCATAACTAGCTAAAATTAGCACAAATAAGTAAATTAGGCTGAAAGTAGCCGAAATTATGAAAAACTTGAATTTATATGGAGAAAGCTGAAATTAGCTACAGAAATGATAAAATGGTTAGAACAAGCTTAAATTAGGAGAAGAAAGCAGTAAGAACATGTTTGCCCAATTAGGCTGAAAGAAGCAGAAATGAGCACAGAATAGTGGAAATTATCTGAAATAAGCTGAAATAAGCAAAAACAGGTGAAAAGAAGTTACTGGAGAGAGCGCATTTTCCCTGAATTAGGCTGAAAAAAGTTGAAATGAGTGCAAAAAATGTGTAATTAGCTGAAAAAGCTGAAGTTAGCATAAAACAGCTAAATACTAGCTGAAATAACAGATAAAGCTGAAACTTTCATCAATAAGCTTAAAGGAGCATAACAAGCTGAACTTAGCAGAAAGAAGTTAGAAGAAGCACAAAAATGTTGGAGTTAGCAGAAATAATCTGAAATGAGCACAAAACAGCTGAAAAATCTGCTGAAATTAGCTGAAAGTAACTGGAAAAAAGTTTTAAATTGCACAAGTAATCTGAAAGAAGCTGAACCAGAACAAAATGTGAAAGTAGCAGTAAAAGGTTGTAAACAGATCTAAAGATATGAAGGATGTAAAATTAGCTCAGTTCATTTTCTATGAGGAATAAAGTGGCAGTAAAGGCTAAATATTTCAAAAAGCTAAAGTTGCACCAATACCAAAAGTCATAGCAGGATTGTTCTGAACAAGCTGAACATTTTGATACAGGACTTGTTGAAATGGCACAAAAGTTGTGGAACGAGAAAAATGCTGAAAAACGTACAAAAGAAAAATGGATCACAGTAATCTGAATGCTTCATAAACATTCACACAAATACATTCAGAGACGTTTCACTCTAATGTCCTCCTCAGTGAACTCTTGTGTTTTTAGACTCAGACTCTCAAAAGCCTGTCAGAAGATTTTACAATTCTGGTATTTGATCATTGTATTTTTGTTATTGCATTCCTATTCTTAAATCCCACAGACTTGTTAATTTTTGAAACGTTAATAACTGGATCTCCATGTCAAGTCCTAAGTTAATGTAAACAGGAGCATGCAATCTGCTTTATGGATTCCTCATTTGGAACAAATCCTAAAGCCGGTCATTTGCTGTGATGTATAAATAAGAATGTGTGCTGCAAATCCGACTTGGTTAACTCTTTAAAGGCCTCATCTGCGGTGTTTCTGTGTGCGAGCGCCTCTTGCGCACTAGTGTTTGTGCTTTTAAACATTTCATTAATCTGACCCTGACCTCCTGATGCTCAGTTGTAACTCCAACAAGCAGAAATGCTCTGCGCCTTGCAGTTTGCTCATGAATGTTAAAATGTAAAGTTTGTGTTTTTTATTCGAATGCTGCATCTAACCCTGACCTCGCCGCCTGTGAACTCCACCCTAACGTTTGCAGATGAAAAAGACACCGAGACAACAGCACTGGGACAGTTACTATGAGAGCGAACTGGTCAGTATCTGTCTGCGTCTGCACATTTATGGGCAGACGTAGATTTATTGTCACCTGAACGCTTCACAAGAAAGCCACACTTTTGTGTGTGTGTTAGCACAGTTGCACAATCTTCCTCCCCTTTCCTTTTGCTCGTTTGTGTTGCTTTTTGGATATTTCCTTGTTTGGTTTGTCGGGTGCTTTATTTTAGCTGTATGTTTTTGTTTTGGCTGCTTTTCTGGATTATGCGGGTGTGTTTAGTCATGTCCTGGTCACAGTCGACTGTCTGTGTTGTCTTTTTTTTATTTTTGATCATTGACCAGCGCAACATTTCTACTCCTGAGCTCCATTTTAAACAAATCAGGTTAATTGCAAACATTTAGAGCAGCATAAGTTACTTTAAGACAGTGAAATGTACTGATAAATGGGGCAATCCTCCTCTACTGTCCCACTCCGCTGTAGAAATGCTGGGTTGGAGGATGTCAATGATCAAGAAAGATTTGTGAATTGTGTTTATCTGTGTTGTGTGTTATTAACACACAAAGAACTCCTTTTGAAGGCTGGGTTGGATTCTGTTTTATTACATTTTTTCCTCACTTCAACGCACTGTTAATGTGTTTTCTAGTTTTTAAACCTCTCATATGATGTGCAACCCTCATGGAAAAACCACGCGAACTTCACATGTGGAGACTCTTGTCTTTGCCTGTGAAAACATGTTAAATTATCGTGGGAAACGAGTTTTCCATGTGGTTTTCTACCGTGTTTAATATGTTCGTGTGATCACTTGTGAAAAACAAATTACATTTAGGTACCACAATACAAAAAAATGGTAATATTATAAATTATTTTAATGCTTTATATTAAAGATGCACGATATTATCGGCATGGTATCGGTATTGGCCGATATTAGCGATAAAGTTAAATATCGGACATTGGCCATACCATCAAAATAACTCACCATTATAGAAGACAGTGTTTATGTATGTGTGTGTGTGTGTATATATATATATATATATATATATATATATATATATATGTTTTTATATAACTGTTTGAGTGTTGTCTTTATGTTAGAGAGATTAAATTCCATGAATAAATTTGACATTAAACATAATCCAAGTTGAAGCGTTACATAATTTTCAGCCCCTTTTTGACATCTGTATCTGGTATCAGACCAAATTGACAAAGACCATGTAGAATAATGTAGTATTTTAATTCCACAGCAGAGAAAGCTATGTGGTCTCTGTCAGTAGGTCTAGGAAAAAAAATTGATATTGGTTATCGGCCAAATAATTGTTAACGTATTGGCATATCGGATATCGGCCAAAAATCCAATATTGTGCATCCTTACTTTATATAGGGGTATTCATAATTTTATAAACTCTTTCTAAAGCATTAATAAAACAGTTTCTAAGCAGTGGTCATACAGTGAAGCAGGCTCGGTGTTTGGTTAAATAAAGTGCCATATTTTTACTCATTCAGATAAATCATTTTTTGCTCTCAGTGAATTTTTTCAATTAAACATTTTATGGCAAAACAAACTATTTACAAAGAATCACTGCTTGCTGACTAGGTTTGATATTTAAAATATAAACTTTAAAGAATAAGGGTAAACCAGGAGAATGGAAAGGGTAAATGTTTGCTCAATATTTGGCAAGAAATTAATTATTGTTCTTTTTATTGACTGCACTGACACTGCTTATTGTTTATAACAGGTTATTATTATTTCCAATATTAACTATTGTATTTATAAGTTTATTATTGCTTTTACGTGAGACTTAAAGCCATGTGGTTTTCCTGTAAGTGAATTTATATTATGAACGTGGTCATTTGACGTATAGAACATGCGTGGACCAAAGGGAACCGATGTATTTAAGTGTCTTCATGCTGTTACAGATTGTTAACACTTGAGTTAGAGTTCAGGCAGAGAATAGATGAGGTGGTAAAAAGGAGGTTTGATGTTTTTCTCTCTGAGGCTTTAGTTTGGGATAATTACAGCAGCTGCAGTGAGATGTACAAAGAGCAGAGCTCACATTATTGATGCTTCAGGTGACTGAAGTAAAACTAACGAAACCAGATTCATATCAACAAAGTCAGATTCATATTGTTTCTGTTTGCTGCTGAGTAGACTGCATATTATAACGATGCACTTTACTGTTTATGCAAAGACTTCATGATTTACTGGTGATAAAGAGCTGCTCTTCACAGAGTAATTAATGTCCATTAATATTTGAAACATTTTCTGTTTTTAAGCGTCGTACCAGTTGAATTAAAATAAAATCTCTGTTTCTCCTTGCTGCTATTTTAGTTCATTACCCGTCACTTAAACACAAACAAAGCCATAAATTAACGTTCCTCCCAGCTCTTTTTCCCAGCTTGCCAAATTTCTGTGGACTGGTTTTTAAAGAGGGGGGATTCGGGCCAGGATTTTCACTCCATGAGCACAAGTCGCACACGCCACAAGTTCCTCTGCTCTTCAGGCCAAAGTGTTTGTTTGACCCCGAGATTCTTAAAGATTGATTCTTTTTTCATCTTCTTCTTAGCGTGCGTCATTTATTTGGTCTACTTCAGGCGACTTTGCAGTAATTTTGTTTCAACGAAATAAACTGGAAACTATTTTCAGCATCTTTGCTAGACGCTCTGTAAACAGTGAAAACATGCAGGCACAGTTTATGTCAGCAGGGTTGAAGGAGTACTTCTAAACCTTACTGCAACTTGTCATTAGCTCTTTTTGGTTTTCAGGCCGCTTTGTTGCTTCAGCTGCTGAAGTGTTGATCACACCTGTTTACTGTTGAATTATTTCTGCAGGACTGCTTCACAGTTGAAGGAGAGGACCTGAAACATGACTTTGAGAGGCTCCAGTTGGCCATGGAGATGGTGGGATTTCTTCCTGCCACGCGCAAACAGTGAGTGACACACAAACACTGGAGCTTCTGTGTCATAAGGTTTGGTTTGAACTTGTCTGTATTCTATAACGTTAGCCATTTAGTTCTTCTCTTTATCTATGTAGATCTATGTATTTTACCCTGTGTTCTTTGCTTGTGTTGTTTTTGCTGTACAACACTCTGGTTGGCCTTGTTGCTGTTTAAAATGCTTTATAAATAAAGTGGTATGGTGTAAGATGGACTTTAGTAGTCCTCAGGGATAATTATACTTAAAAAACTAAGGTTTAACCTAAATTTAATCACAGACACACATTTTAATATACAGTAGTATACAGTTTTGGTGGTGCTGCTCTTCATCTTGGCTAGTTCACACGTTGTGAACTGCTCCAGTGAGAGCTGGAGATCAAAGCATCATAACAGCAACTAGGGGTGGGCGATATGGCTCAAATGTAATATTGTGATATTTCAGAGCATTCTGACGATAACGATGAATTTTGTGATATAACAAAAAAAAAAAACCCAGAAATGATAGTTATTCGTTTGACAAAATTAACTTAACATGTTGCTTTGCAGTATTATATAAAAACAAACAAACAAAAAACAAAGGGTGAATTTTACTGAAATTACTTTATTTAGTAAAGTATTCATTCTCAAAGTATAAAAATAAAAAATACAAATGATCCTTCTGCTATTTAGATTGAAAAAGTCTGCACAAAATATAGATCAATAAATCCACCACAAAAACTGAAGTGCAGGTGAAGTTTCCCAAAATAACTAAAAAAAATGAAAGCTTAAGATCTGTTGAGCATAAATGTAACATACAACAAAAATATGTTGCCTTTAAATGAGCTATAACTTCCAGAACTTGTAACAAGGTGTCTTCAGCTTGGGAAATTGCAGCAAATATGCAATAGCTGTCTTGGTTTTTATTAGTACTTAATGGTATTTTACTGTAAATTTTATTACACTTTTATTTTTATTAAACTCAATTTCATTTCTTTTATTATATTTTTATCTACGACGTAATTCTTGCGAAGCACTTTGGTCAGCTGTGGTTGTTTTTAAATGTGATTATATGAATAAACTTTGAATTGAATTAAATTGAATTCAGCTGAGCCTGAAGCTTGTGGAGTTTCTTCTTCCTCTGTTCCTGCAGGAACGATTCATTTCTCTGATTCTCTGTCTCTGATCACCTGACTCTGTTCTTGGTCTATGGACTGTGGAACTCAAAAAAGAGACACCGCTGAGCTGTGCGTGTTTGTACCAGCAGTTTAGAGCGGGGTGGGGGTGGGGGTGGAGGAGCTGAGCACTGACATTGTCTGTACCCACTGTTTTGAGCTGGGGGAAGAGACTCAGCTGAGCCTGCGCGTTGTTTGTTTAATATTGCGTGCAGCTAATTAACGTTGCACCAGTACCGACAGGGGGGTGGGGGGTGCGCAGTTCGGTTCGATAGTTCTGTTCTGTTAACGGGGCGGGGCGCCCTGCTTGTATAAGGGGAAACACTGATGTATTTACGTCATGAAATTAGCATATTGCTATATCATTTATTTTCCTGGGCAAGCTTTTTTTACTTTTTATCGTGAACGATACGATATGGCCCAGCCCTAACAGCAACAAGATCACATCATCTGCAAATCATATACACAGAACGCTGAGGTCACTGAACAGGACAACATCCATATCAAATAACCTTCTTCCTTCGCTTCTTTCGTCTTTTCCCTCTTCAGGGTCTCCACAGCGAGTCATCCTCCTTCATCTCACTTAGTCCTCTGCATCCTCTGTCCTCACTCCAACTACCTCCATGTCTCTAACTGCATCCATAGATCTCCTCTTTGTCTTTTTCCTGGCAGCTGCATTTCTAACATCCTTCTACCAATATACCCACTGTCCCTCCTCTGGACATGTCCAAACCATCTCAGTCTGGTCTCTCTAACTTTATCTCCCAGTTGTTCAACCTGTGCTGAACCTCTGATGATCTCATTCCTAATCTTATCCATCCTTGTCACTCCTAAGGAGAACCTCAGCATCTTCATTTCTGCCACTTCCAGTTCTGTTTCCTGTCTTTTTGTCCATGTTTCTGTCTTCAGACCATACAACATAGCTGCTCTCACCACTGTCTTGTAAACTTTTCCTTTGGCCTTTGCTGACATTCTTTTGTCACAAATAACTCCTGAAACTTTTCTCCATCCACTCCATCCTGCCTGGACTCTCTTTACCACACTCCCCATTTTCCTGGACAGTGGACCCCACATATTTGAAGTCCAGTATCCACCACAAATAACCAATTACCATTAAATGTAAAGGTAGAACCAAGGTTCTCAAACTTGGTACCACTGATGGTACTCAGGATCCCTCTAGTGGTATTCAGAAGAATCTTTGGTATCAACAATTTACAAGTTTCAAGTGTCAAGTTCAATAACCACCATAAACTATATGATGAAGATGAATTAAAGCTAAAAACTAGAAATGGCAACAAAGAAAAGTGGTCCAAACTGAGACTGCTCCTTCAGGACGTCAGTAGAGAACAATTCAAGAACCACTGTGAAAACTGGAGGGGACTCTGTGTTAGTGGCTACGTAAGAACCAACAATGTCTCTAACATTAACATGTTGGACATCTATAGCCTACAGTCAAGATGGCTGCCACAGTTAACAGCTAGCATTACAAAAAGTGGCTATAACAGTCAATTTTTCACACATTGAGCTCAACTTTGATGTGCTAGAGTCATTCACAACAAGTACTCTGAGCGCCAACACTATCTGAGATCTGTTGACGTTAGGTGACATCGTACAAAAGGGTTTTTCAAGAGTTCAACATTTCTCAACATCAGATTATCCTTTCTTTATCTTTCTCTTCTAAAGCTAGTAGCTTTGGAAATGTTCAACCTGTCTGCTTCCTCTCCAGCGTCTTTTGAATGTTGCAATGTTTGATCTGTTGAACAGGATCTTTTCTCTGCTGTCGGCCATCCTTCACCTGGGGAACATCCGCTACAAGAGGAAGACCTACAGGGATGACTCCATAGACATCTGTAACCCAGAGGAGCTGCCTGTGGTTTCTGAGCTGCTGGAGGTACGGTGCAGGAATACCATTACATGACCTCTTTCATTTTGGTCTTCAACCAGAAACACAAATATTAAAGAAAATAAATCAGTCAGCATTAAACTGTTTAAAAGCTGTCAGTCTTTTTTTTTATTCAGGTATTGACATCAACATTTTGCATAGCTCACCTCATAGACAAAATTTGTTGGTATAGCTTAACCAAAGCCATGACAAATAAGCATGGTTCATTTTCAAGTTCATGTGACTTTACTCAAGATCATTTCCTTATGTCTATCCAGGTTTTTGTCAGTCTTTTTTAAATTTATTTTTCACGGTCTTCATCAGGTCAAAGAGGAGATGCTGTTTGAAGCGCTGACAACACGGAAGACGGTGACGGTGGGAGAGAGGCTGATTGTTCCCTACAGACTGGCTGAGGTGAGACTGCAGCTTCGTCTCACTTTCCCAAGAACCTGGTGAATTTCTCAGACTGGAGTGTTTGGGCCAGTTTCTTGGTGTTGATGGACAACTTGCAAACAGAAATGTTCTATGGACTATCTGAGGAAAACAGAACTACAGAGCTTTAGAACTTTATTCCCTTTTATGCATGTGCACCATCACTCAGGACTTTAGGGCTTGTAATAGGTGGATGGCAGTGAGTACAAGCTATAAATGACTTAATTTTTTTCCATCAATCATTACATTACATGGGTATTTGATAATGGTGGTTTTTATTTAGGTATTGCAACATTCGTTGACCACTACCAGCCATTACGTTATCTGTAGATCAAGTGATACTAGATGGTTTGTGTTCGCTGTCCAGTCTGTTTCCATATACAATCCTAGGTGTTTATAGGTGCAGACCACCATTTAAGAAGAAGCTCAATATTAAAAAAATGTGAATTATCTAAAAGACATTTTGCTACAGATGCTGAAACTTCTTGACTTTTCATGTTTAAAACTCAGTTAAAAATTTGCTTTTTTTATTAGTTCAAGTTATCTTTATTAACCCCAAGCGGCAATTTGTTTATCAGTTAGTAGACACATAAAACATCCATACTAGACAAGACATCGAGACATTAAAATAACAGTACAGAAATCATCATTGTTCATTGAGAAGCCTGATCGCTAAAGGGATAAATGAGTTTTTCAGTCTCTTCATTCATGGGCATCAGATACCTGCATCCAGATGGAAGTAACCTGAACTCACCATGGAGTGGATGATCAGGATCTGCCAGAATCAGCCTGGTCTTGTTCATTGACCTCACCTTGTGTAGGTCAGTGAGGTTCTGTAGAGCTATGCCCGCAGTTTTCCTGCACATCCTGACAATCCCTGAGTTTGTTCCTGTTCCTATTCCAATTAGAGTTGAGGCGTACTCAGCAATCTTTATTCTACTTTATATACATTTTATTCAAAATGTCTCCAGAAACTGAAAAGGCCAATTTAACCAATGTCTCGCATGATTTCTGCTAATAACTTCAACTTTAAATCATTTGTTGAATTTTTGTTTCATATTCGTATAACTGGTGCAAACTAGACTTTAGAATAGGTGATACATCTTTGCATTTCGTTGCATTTCCCCTCAATTTCCACACTTCTGTACAAAATCTCATTAAATTTTTTAAAGCAAAACGTTTCATGCGGCAAGAAAGTTTAAATTAATGTTTTGATTTTTTTTACATTTTATTTAGGAAAATGTCATTTCTCATTAAAGATTCTTTGTAGTCTTAAAAACTGTTGAATTTGTGTCTGAAGTGTAATGAAGGAACCTTTGTGGTAAATTTGATTGTTGTTCAAATGGGCTACAAAAGTTGTGTCCCCTTTTTATTGATCTAAAGAGACTTATAGCAGTGAAGCATTTTTTCTGAGGATATTTCTGTACAGCTAAAGGCTCTTCGTCAGCTGTCTGATTGTTACTCTCCCATCTGACCCAGCCATGTTTACGGGACACTGTGCACCACCACCGGATCCACCCCCCCACCTCCCTTCATCCGCAGACACACGACAACACATACATGCACACGTTAGCAAACACACAAGTCCTGCAATATGTTTAGTGAAAAAAAAAAGGGCAGGCATTTAAAGCCCCCCTACAGTTTTCATTGGGACCTCCGCTCTGAAAACAAACAAGTCTGCAGACGAGAGCGCGCTGTGGGAAAATCCAGGACGCTCCGCACAGATTCTGTTGACTCAAAATCCATCTTGGTGACTCGGCTGAGCTAATTTAACAGACTTAATGTAATTTGGGATGAAAGCAATCCTCTGTTTTTAACCGTTTAGTTTTTACCGAAGCCGTTTAATTTTCCCAGAAGACAGTCGAGGCGTAAATCTTCCCACTGAGCCTCACATGGACCTGCTGAATATTTAATATGAGCAAACAGCGATTGTTTTGGTAGCACTCTGGGTGGTCTCTGTGTAAATATTGCTGCAACGGTCTCATCGCCCGTAAACTGACACGATGCTGTTGCAAACATGAAAGAAATCAGACTGATGCGTTTTTCCCTTTTTGGTCAGATTCACGAGGCCTTTGAACATTTCAAACCCAACTTCCTTCTAATAATGAAAAGCTTTCAGGTCATTAAAGCACATTATGCACGAGGGGGGTATGAAAAATATCCGTCCTGACGCAATAAAGACGTAATTGGTGCGCTTTAAAATCCTCCGGTTAGATATATGGAGATTGAGGAGGGTTAATGAGGGGCTGCTGCTCGGGGGTTGTTTAGTTTCTGAACACTCTGACTCTGCTGTGATGCAGACAGGTCAAAAGTTTCCAGGAGATCCAGGAATTAGATGGTTTCTTTTATTAAGAGGACAGTCGAGCTTTTCTCAAAACATCAGTGTTTAATTTAAATCAAAACATGGCTGTAAACGCCGAGCGGCGAGGTCTGGGTTCTGTCTGGTGTCGTCAAGTATCTTCTGATCATCTGTTGATGTTCTCAGCAGCAGTCTGGGTGAAGTTCTGAGCTGCTTGGTTACAGATTATATCAGGGCTCAAGGACTTCCTGCTCTGACACGATGCCGCACACCAGCGAGCCTGTACTGATGCCATGTGGGTTGAATTCTCCAAATCAGGTTCAGATGGTTTTTATCTGCTCATGGACTTGTGTTTTACATTTCAACATGTTTAACTTTTAACAACAGTACTTGAGTCACTAAGATGTTGACAAGACTCTGGGGATGTGATTTATTCTTGAGTCAAAGTTTAAAGGTTTGATTCTTCAGTTTTAAGCGTTGAAACAATGTTAGTTTGGTCCGGAGTCACTTTCAGCCTTTATGTTTGGGTCTTTCTCATTCACTGGATTTGGCTGAGGCTGTGAGTAAAAACACTCAGTTACAGAGTTTCTATTCAGGACTAGTGTTTATAACCATTAGAGATGGGAGTGGTGGTGCAGAGGTTTGAGAAGGTGGGCCTGTGATCGGAATGACACTGGTTCAACTCTCCAGACTGACATCAAAATGTGGGTGGGACAGATGAAACACCCACACCTGCCTCCATCTCCATTTGCCCCACTCTGGGCCCTTGAGCAAGGCCCTTCATCCCCACCATCTTCTCCTCCGGGCGCCCTAGACAGCAGCTCTGCTCCACACAGAGAGCTGTGGTAGCTCAGTGGTCAGTGGTTGTGTCAGGAAGGACATCTGACGTAAAAATACCTGCCAAGTCTTCGTGCGAGTTAGTTCACTGTGGCGACCCCTGAAGAAGGGAGCAGCTGTAGAAAAAAAAAAAAAGACAGAATTGTATGCGAGTAAAAATGTGAACTAAAGTACCCAAAACATGTCTATTTTCAGCTAAATTTATTTGAGTTAAAAAATATTAATTAGGTTTTTGCAATGATAAATGCAGATTGTTAGAAATCATGGCAGCTGATACTCAAATTACCAGTAGATTTTTAGTTTTTATTACTTTGTGCCAAAGAGAGGTCATGCGTTCATTTGTTTGTCTGTTAGCAAAGTAGCTCATGAACCACAAGAAAATATTTACTGAAACGCTCAGAAAGGATTCAAGGATCTTTATTGTTATTCACATCACGTGTGGTACATGAGGTGGAGCGAAACTATGTACACAGGGTCCCAGTTACATCCAACAAAAACACAGATTGTAAAGAAAAAAAACTGTAGTAAGATCCAAGACATGAACTAAGAAATACGCTAAACTAAGAATACAATAAGCACTACTAGTACAAAACAATGCACCAAACAACAGCAGCACGAACATGAGTCTGTGTGAGCAGATGAGGATGAATGAACACAGCAACATGAAATAAATCAGCAGCATGAGATCAGCAGCATGGATAGTCAGCAGCACATATCAACAATCAAGTGGCATTACAGTGAATTTTTTTTTTCACTGTAATTTTCACAGCAATAATCCTGATGATAATCCTGATGTTAGGGATTCATGAGTCTAACAGCCTCAGGGTAGAAGCTGTTCCTCAGTCTAGTGGTTCTACACTTAATGCTCCTCAACCTCCTTCCTGAGGGGAGCGGGGCAAAAAGTGTGTGTGCTGGGTGAGTGGGGTCCTTCATGATGCAGGTGGCCCTTTTCCTGCATGTGGAGGTGTAGATGTTTGTGATGGTGGGGAGGCTGACTCCAACAGACTTCACTGGGTGGAAATCTACAACTGAATACTTTTTAGAGTCAGCCTGAGTCAAGATGGCTGCCAGAGTCAGTCGAACTTAAAAAAAGCACAAAAATGTGTGTAATGCTGTCAGTTGTCCAGATATGGAGCTGAAATAGTTTGGGAGTAGCTGAGAGTCATCGTGCGCAGAGTGCTTCTCATTCTGCAAGAACTTTGCTTTAACTGTTGGAGTAACGTCTGTTAGCAAAATATCTTCTGAACCACTGAATGCATTTTAATGAAACTTTCAAAAAGTTTATGAATGGATGTACATTTACAAGTGATTAACTTTTAGAGTTAACATTATTCAAGATGGCCGCTGCAGCTGTTCAACCGGAGCAACATAGAAACAGCTGAGTCAGTGAATTTAACAGATACTGAGATCAAACCTGGCGTGGCTGTAGTTGAGTCATTCTCAACACATTCATTAAACAATAACAGATTGTGTGAGACCTTGTGGTATTTCATGTGATAGCTCATAACATGATTTAACTGCTCCAATGCCACTGGGTTTCCACATAAGATGAGCAAAGTTTAAACCTCTGTCATGACAGGTGATGGGCAATATCAAATGTTGTCGTTGCATTTATTTTATTTGTAAATATGCAACCTGTACACATTACAATATGCTGGATTTCAGAAAAGAAAACCAGTGATTTAATAAATTTGGAGCAATGCTTACAGCAGAATGATGATATTAGGAATTGCTTGGTGCTCAGCATGTTTTGGACACTTTCTTGAATTTCTGCTAAAGCTGGTATTTCTTTAGCTGTCACATTTGTTGATGGGCACAGTTACAAACCCAACAAAAAGCCTCCTGCCATGAAAGTCACCCCCTACAGCAGAAATTGTGCTGACTTGGTGGCCTGGTTTCAAATCTAACACTGCTCTGACCACACATGTGCCTGCCTTTTAATCACCATGGCTTATCTCACTTATAGAAAACAAAATGTGCAAAAACTGGCCGGCGTTATCATCGGACTGATTAGTCAGTTAACCTAAAATTTAAACTTGTGCAAATCAAATTCTGCACCAACTCGCCTTCATACGCTTGCTTTTTAAATTTAGCTCAGGGTAAAGACCTACTGAGCAGAATGTTCTTTAAACAAAAATAAAACATTTGTAAATATTTTATGTTAAGCCAGCCATTCAAAGTGTCTGATGGTGTATTTCTCTGCAAGAGCGTCTTACTTCTCTCCGTTGGCTCCCTGTCATATTCAGAATTGAATTCAAAATCTTACTTCAAACCTACAAAGCCCTCAACAACCTAGCTCCATCTTGTATTACAGATCTTACGGTTCTGTATTTTCCTAACAGAGCACTTCATGCTCAGACTGCAGGTTTACTTGTGGTTCCTAGAGTTTCCAAAAGCAGAATGGGAGGAAGATCTTCCAGTTATCAGGCTCCTCTCTTGTGGAACCAACTTCCAGTTTGTGTCCGTGAGGCTGACACATTGTCCAGTTTTAAGACTGGGATTAAGACTTTCCTTTTTGATAAATCCTATAGTTAGTGTTGGCCTGTTATGCTGCTATAGGCTTAGACTACTAGAGGACAAATTGACCTAATTTCCTTAAATGATTTGTTAAAATTAAATAGTTTTTATTTGATATTATTTCTATCTTAACATGTGATTCTCAACCTGCCATTGTGTATCTGTTCCTCCTTCCTGTTCCTCTCAAACCCAGCTGGTTGAAGCAAATGACCTCTTGTCCTGAGCCTGGTTCTGCTAAAGGTTTCTTCCTCATGAGGGAGTTTTTTCTTTCCACTGTCACCTTCATGTTTGCTCAAGATGAGAGTCTGCGATGGAGTTAGACTCAAAGCAGTCTGCTCCTCAGATAATTAATGTTATTAACTGGCTTTTTATGTACAGTAGTCCCGCGCTACTTCACGGTTCGACTTTTGCAGACTCGCTCTTTTGTGGATTTCAAAGTAAGAGTGGACATGACACATAATTGACTGATTGATGGATGAGCCACACAAGCTGCATGGGTTGTTTATTTAAAATTAATTATTTAAAATGATTTTGTACCATGTGTGCAGCCCACAGATGCAGGGAGAAACTCCCTCCTGCAGCCTGTCATGATCTCTCTGCCACACACACACATTTCTGCTCCGTGCTGCAGCAGCTTTGTGAAGGGTTAACCCTTTGCTGTCCAGTTGCACCCATCGACTTTAGTCTTCCAACTTAAAATTCAAAGTATGTCACATCGTAGAATCGTCAAATCACAAAATATAAAAGTTTTTAAAGTTATTTTTAATTATTTTAGAACTTCTATGTTCAGTTGTTACAGTGTAATTGGTCAAGAAGTACATTTCTGCTCCGTGCTGCAGAGCTGAAGAGTTATCACTTTGATGTCCTGTTGCACTTCTCTTCTCTACAATTTTAATTTAAATACTGCAATATTTTAAATCAACAATCCATGCTGCAAGGATTGTTGATTTAAAATATTGCAGTATTTAAATTTAAATGGTTTATTTATACATAAGGAGGGAGATTGGGAGTGAAACTTGAACTTGGACTACTGTATCCCTACGTCACGGTTTTTCACTTATCGTGGGGGCGTGGTCCCCTAAACCCCGTGATAAACGAGGGACCACTGTATGAATGTTTCTGTTCAGTGCCCTGAGATGACTTCTGTTGTGACTTGGTGCTCTATAAATAAACTGAAGTTAATTGAATTATTTTACTGTGAAAGAAATGCAGCGTTTGGACAGAAGGTGATTAGGTATCTCTATGGAAGATAAATTCTTCATAACTTACCATTGTTGCAGTAGTTCAGGTTTATTTTGTTTTGTTTTCATAACTAATGCACCAATTGTGTTGCTCGTTCAGGCTGGTACGGTGCGAGACTCCATGGCCAAGTCCCTGTACAGTGCTCTGTTCGACTGGATTGTCTTCAGGATCAACCACGCCCTGCTGAACATCAAGGACCTGGAGGAGACCACCAAGGTCAAGTCAGACCCGACGTATCAGCCATAAAAACAAACTTTCTGCTGTGATTAACGCTTAGATTAGAACTTTGAAAACAAAAGCTGTTATTCTAATGATTTCCTGTTAAGACTGACTTTCTGAAGCTAAACTTGCAAGATAAGATTTTTCATGTCCATAAGCAGAACATTGAGACAAGTTGTGAACATCTCATTTTGTGGACATTTCCCACAGATTTTGTCCATCGGCGTGCTTGACATTTTCGGTTTTGAGGACTATGAGAGCAACAGCTTCGAACAGTTCTGCATCAACTTTGCCAACGAGCGTCTCCAGCATTACTTCAACCAGCACATCTTCAAGCTCGAACAAGTAAGTTATCTTTTAATAAACAGTCTTTACACGTCTGACCACCCGGCTGAGGGTGTAGGACTCCTACATGAACTGATTGACTTCAAAGAGCTGTAAACGTCCTGATCTGGAAGATTTACCTGCGAGTTTAACCTCGTGTTTAACTTGACAATGATGAATGGATGAATCAGTGGCCTGCTGTTACTTGTTTGGAGCCTTCAGCCGTCAGTGAATCACCTCGAGATAATAACACTCAAGCCCCTCACTCACGCAGCCTTTTCCAGCCGAGTACACACTAACCAGCACAAAGTATTAGGTTTGTAAAAAACTAAAGGTAAAACACCACCAGCAACTGATTTATTAAACTTGGCAACTAATAATCAGTGTAGAGCCCTTTCCCCCATAAAACTGAAATTATGAAATATTTATAGATTTCTTCACAAACATAAAAGCAAAGCTTAATTTAAAATTACATTTTTGCTTAAGTTTAAACGTCTTTTGCTCATCTGTGTTTACTTTTTAGCAGCATTGCTGATGCTTTCACGATAAACGTGTTTTTTCTTTCTTTTGTTTAGAATGAAATGAAATGGAATAGACCACTGATTTTAATATTAATTTAATCTACAGGTGGTCAGACATGTAAAGACAACTGCTGCACTATGTAGGCTGTATGTAGGCTGTATGTAGGCTGTATGTATGCTGTATGTAGGCTGTATGTATGCTGTATGTAGGCTGTATGTAGGCTGTATGTATGCTGTATGTAGGCTGTATCATGAATGATACAGTATCTATGTATCTACCTTACCATCATAATTCAATCTCAATGTCACTACTTGCACAATAACCTGTCACACAACCTGTCTAGTATATGTTAATTATGTGCTATATATACAGTATATATATATATATATATATATATATATATATATATATGTATATCATGTTCATTTTAGCTTATATTACTACCTTGAAATACTTGTTCATTCAAATTCATCCTGTTGAACCATTATATTCTACCATGTTGTTGCTCACTAGCTCTCTTTAGGAAATTGTGAATATTATGATTACTTGTTCAATATTTGGTACTTTTTTGTGTACCTTTTTGCATGCTTTTAGTATTTTCTTGTTTGTTTGTTCTTTGATTTTTTTTAGTGAGTCAAATCAGGTCTTCTCATCCTAAGCATTTCATTGTACTGTTAACCCTGTGTTAACCTCAGATAAGACAACTTGGGCGTGACATATTTTGTTAAAATATTTAACATATAATAATTTGTGTATTTAAGCGCATATACAAATTTTCAATTGGGGGCTGCAGTAGCTTGGTGGTCAATGCCATGGTTTAGTAATCCTGAGGTTGCGGGTTCGAGTCCAGGTTGCTTCAGGAAGGGCTTCGCTCACTGTGGTGACCCCAGAAGGAGGGAGAAGCCAAAAGAAAGTTATTTTTCAGTTGACTTCAAAACATGCCAATAATCCCTTTAAAAGCCTTAAAGCATTGTAGATATTCTCTTACAGACCACTTCATAAGGTCCTCCTGTTCAAACGCTCGTTAACACAAATAACCAATCAGCCAATCACATGGCAGCAAGGCGTGTGATGAGTTGTGTAGACATGATGAAGACAACTTGCTGAAGTTCAAACCCGGCATCAGAATATGGATTAAAGAGGATTTAAGTAACTTTGAACATGGCATGGTCATTGATGCCAGGCGGGCTGGTCAGAGTGTTTCAGAAACTGAAGATCTTCTGGGAGTTTTACACACACCCATCTCTGGGTTCTCAGGAGAATAATCCATAAAGAGAATATCTAGTGAGCTGCAGCTGGGTGGACAAAAAACCTTGTTAAAGTCAGAGGTCGGGGGGAAATGGGCAGACTGGTTCAAGATGACAGAAAGGCATCAGTAGCTCAAATAACCACTGGTTACAAAGGTCTGCAGAGCAACATCTGTGAACACAACCTGACCAAGCTTGAAGCAGATGGATCACAGCAGCTGAAGACCACACCAGGTACCACTCACTCCTGTCTGCTAAGAACAGGAAACCGAGGCTGCCGTTCACACAGACTCATCGAAACCAACACAGTAAACTAAAGAACGGTGAAAAGGCCGTTTAAAGCACATCATTCAGCAGAATGTGTGGGGAAATAAAGCCTCTGAACAGGATTCAGCTGGGATGAACTGTCCAAAAGCTGGTTAGCTACATATTTCCATTAAAGCCTGCCTCACACCCTCAGATGCAGTTACAGAATATTTCCATGCATCTGCCGACCTGTGAGTCACTCTGCCCTGGTCTGACATGCCAAGTAGCTTGATTAAGAGCACACAGGTGGTCACTTAGACCTATTTTATTATTATTTAATTTTGTTTCACTCTTCTTTCCAATCATCCTCCCTGCCAGTAATCACACTGTGAAGTGAATACAAGAACTGATTTATCAGTTTTTACGTCATATTCTTGTTTGAAGTTGGCCATTTATTAGTTTCATACAGTTATGAACTATTGCAGCTCGTTTCTTCTTCTTCAGCAGTGAATGTTCATCTTTTAAAATGGTTTTTAAGATGGTGAGAGATGTTATCTTAATGCGTAGATAAATCTTAATGTTGCAGTTCTTAGGTCAAACACACCACACAAATACACACTTTGGTACACATATGTACTGTAACTTGTAGCTGTATCTTTTATCTTCATCTCATTAAGCAGCGCCCTGATTACTTCTACATAAAACTAATGGTGGTAATCCCACTGTCAGACCTGGAAGATTGATGTTTATTAATATGAGGTCAGCTGAAGTGTCACACAAAATAATTAGTTTCAAGATAATTGGAACTAGAGAGATTACATTTTTCATTCAACTTTTATTTCTTGCGAAAATGCAGTGTGAATGCTTATTGCAGAAGAACTTGCTGACAAACAGGTGAAATTAACAAAAAAAAGCATGCTGAAGCGTAGATGAAAATGTAAAACAAGTGTAAATCAGCAGTAGAAAGCAGAAACACAAAAGTTGAAATGAGTGCAAAAATGTGGAATTGCTGAAAAAGCTAATACTAGCATAAAACAGCTAAATAGTAGCTGAAATAAGCTGAAACTAGCAGAAATACCTGAAAAGAGCATAACAAGTTGAAATGAAAAGAAAAAACTTAATTAGGTTGCAGAAATTACCACAAAAAAATTGAAATGATCTGAAAACAGCTAAAATTTGCTAAAATATGCTAAAAAGGTAGCTGAAAAGGTAGAACAAGCTTAAATTAGCACAAGAAAGCAGAAAGAACTCATTTACCCAATTACTCTGAAAGTAGCACAAATGAGCACAAATTAGTGGAAATTACCTGAAAAAAGATGAAATTAACTAAATTCAGCTGAAAAGTATCTGAAAAAGCAGAAAGAAGCTTAAATTACCCGAAGGAAGTGGAGCGAGTACATTTTTGTTGAAGTAGGATGAAAAAGTTTAAACAAGTTCAACAAAAGTGGAATTAGCTGGAAAAAGTAAAAATTAGCATAAAACAGCTAAATAGTAGCTGAAATAGCAGAAAAAGCTGAAAGGAGAAGAACAATGAAGCACAAAAATGTTCTAGTTAGCATAAAGATCCTGAAAGGAGTACAAAACAGCTGAAAAACAGCTGAAATTATCTGAAAAAAGCTTAAATTAGCTGGAAAAAAGTTTAAATTTGCACAAAGAAGCTGAAGCAGAACAAAATGGGAAAAGAGCAGTAAAAGGTTGTAAACGGATCTAAAGATATGAAGAATATAAAATGAGCTCAATTCATTTTCTGAGAAAAAAAATGGCAGAGAAAGATAAATATTTCAAAAAGCTAAATTTGCTCCAAAATCAAAAGTCATAGCAGGATTTTGTTCTGAAAGAGCTGAACGTTTTGATGTATGATTTGTTGAAATAGATTGAAAACTGCAGAAGAGAAAGATGCTGAATCACAATAATGTGAACGCTTCATAAACTTAAACTGTGGCGCTTAAATCTTTCCATTCATTCATTGTCTATTTACCTGCTTTGTGGGCTTCTGGGGGTGCTGTTTCCCTATCTCCAGCAGCCATTGTGGCGGTGGACACCCTAGACAGGTTACAAGTCCATCACAAGGACACAGAGGCAAACGAGACAAACCACTCCCACTCTCACCTACACATAGAGACAATTAGGAGTTAACCTAACATGCATGTTCTTGGTCTATGGGAACAAAATGGGAGAACATGCAAACTCCACCCAGAAAGGTCAGGAGGCAATCCTGCAACCTTCTTGCTGAGAGGCAACAGCTCTAACCACTGTGCTACTGTGCGGCGCTCGTTTAAGCTTAATTCTCTTAAACACATAACACAGTTCAGTTTAATAAACTAAAAAGAGAAGGAAAAAACAAAGAGCAGATTTATAGTATTACTATATTTGTAGTATAACCGCAATTTAAGAATTGCACAATTTGCATCTTAGTATTTATCTACAGGTATATATTAAGGTGTTTTCAACCCTTCCCACGCTCTTCCAATGTCCCTAACATTTTCTAAACTCTAAACGCTCTAAAAGAGCACAGCATGTCATGATCTCTGCTCACTGCCACCGGCTGCACTCTGCCAGTGCTCTCGGCCACGCCCACTTCTCCGCTGCTGAGCGGAGGTCTGACGTGCTGCAGGAGGAAGCTTCTCCTGCAGCTATGGGCTGCACACAGGTGCAGCAGGTGCTAGATCGTTTAAAATAATTTATTTTAAATAAAAAATCCATACAGATCGTGCGACTCATCCATAAATCAGCCAACTGTGTTTGAAAAGCCGTAATAGAGCGAGTCCGCGAATAATGAACCACGAAGTAGTGAGGGACTACTGTATTCCAGTACTGTTGGTCTGGATTAAACGTCAGTACATACGAGTTCACTTAAGTTTGTCAAATCTTTGTCTTTTTGCTAAATCAAAACAATCAACCAGTGAGAGATCTCTGCTGTTTGAAATGTGTCTTCACATAAAGAGCCACACTGTTCCTGTCCTCTGTGATGAAAGTTTATAAAACTACATCAAATATTGTGTTTTAAAGCACAAATGACGTTTGTAAAGGTATTTTAATGGAGATCACTTTATAAAATCTTCAAACACCTAAAAGAGATTTCTAATTTTGTTGTAATTTTACTAAAATTACACTATTTTTTGGTCCGTTAGCAAAACTGATGAGGCATTCCATAAAAATCAGCTTTTCTTTCTTGATAGTGAACCTTCCTCAGTGAACTTAACGATTCTTAGCAAACTGTGTCACTTCACTTGATTTCATTTCAGCTCTTTGACTTGAGGGTAATACAGCAGGAGAAACCAGAAAAACTGAGATTCCAGTGCTTTTTATTAAACCCCGGCTGGATTAAGGTCTTTGTTGGTTAAGTCTCTTTCCCAGGAAGGCAGGAAAACAACATGAACGTGGAAGAATAAATGATAAATGCTCCGAATGCTTCTTTCATTATTAAAACAGGAAGAGTTCAGACAAAGTCTGCAGACATCAAAGAATGTCAGAAAGCTTGCTGCTTTGATTGTTAAACTTTAAATGTTTCCATGGTCTGTTAATAAATAATATTGCCGTGAGTGGTGAAAGGTTTCGTCTCTGATGTGAAGTCCACTGGACCGACTCTGAGCTCTGTTTTTATCCCGTGACCCTGCAGGAGGAGTACCGGGCGGAGAGCATCAGCTGGCGAAACATCGATTACATCGACAACACGGGCTGCATCAGCCTGATCAGCAAGAAGCCCACAGCGCTGTTCCACCTGCTGGACGAAGAGAGCAAGTATGTGTTGAAGTCTGGTTTGACTGGTTCACTTCTGCAGAAACTCCTTGCTTTTCTGAGACTATTCCACAACTTTTGGGTTGTTTAAAGTGAAGCTGGCAGCATGCTGACACAACTGGAGAGTCTTCAGTTTGATTATAGCCACGACTTCCTTTATGTCAACTATGGGGGGGGGGGGGGGGGGGTGTTATGAGACGTGTACACAGTCTGCTGCAGCTTTTATGTATGCTTTATGCATATTACTGTTTTTATATCTAGTTTTTATTTATATTTATTTACCCTAATTTCCAGACTGTAAGCCACTACTTTTCCACATGTTTTGAACACTGTGGCTTAAACAGTGCTTCGGCTAATTTATGGATTTTTTTTTTTTGCCGATCATGCCACCAAAACATTTAGCCTCATCACACCCGGGTGCTCGCATAGCTTCCCAATACACATCTTTCTTGGGGGGTGGGTCCTCGTGACTCATACCTGTATAAATAAAGGTAAAAAAGATCTAACTAATGAAATTACTGAACAGGTCACAGTGGAGCAATGAGACTGGTTTCAATGGTCCATTGTGGAGGGAGGGAAACTTTGTTTCCCCCTCTTCCCATTCTTCCCTCCCCATTGTGCCCCCAGGTAGGGGGACCTCCATTCGTTGTTCCCCCAACAAAGTATTTGCAGCCACTCGAAACAAGTGTGAATCATGCATTTTAAATGGCACTTCTAGCTGTTTGGATGACTGGCGGCGAGAAATCGTTTACCAAAACCAGCTGCATACGAAGAGCAACTTTTATCAAAGTCTGCTAGTGGATCCTGACAGGGGAGCAGGGTAAAAAATCCTCTATCACCAATGGGTTTTGAAAGGCAGCAGTGTCCTTCCTCCTGCGGCATCCTGAACTTAATCTTCATCCAAGATGAAGGTAGTGATCAATGACATCCTGGTAACCAGCCATGTTACAGGCACTGTTCAGAAAAAAACATTTACTGTACGTACACTGCCTGGCTACAAAAAAAGATCACCACCTGGATTTAACTTGGCAAATATGTACAAGCCTCCTATTGGATAATTACTGCATGGGCGATTATCTTTCAGCTGGCAACAAGTTACTTAACGCCAACTGGTGCAATGAGTTGCTTCTCGTTTCTTAAACAACCATGTTGAAAGACTCATCGCGTGGTCGTGGAAAAGATGTCGGTCTGTTTGAGAAGGGTCAAATCATTGGCATCAAGCAGAGAAAACATCTAAGGAGATTGCAGAAACTGCTAAAATTGGATTAAGAATTATCCAACGCATTATTAAAAACTGGAAGGATAGTGGGGACCCATCATCTTCGAGCAAGAAATGTGGCCGGGAAAAAATCCTGAATGATCGTGATCGGTGATCACTTAAACGTTTGGTGAAATCAAATCTAAGAAAAACAACCGTAGCACTCAGGACAATGTTTAATAGTGAAAGTAAGAGCATTTCCACACGCGCAATGTGAAGGGAACTCAAGGGATTGGGCTGAACAGCTGTGTAGCCTTAAGAAAACCACTAATCAGTGATGCTAACTGGAAAAAAGGCTTCAATTTTCTAGGGAGCATAAAGATTGGACTCTGGAGCAATGGAAGGTCATGTGGTCTGAGTCCATGTTTAACCTGTTCCAGAGTGATGGGTGCATCAGGGTAAGAAGAGAGGCAGGTGAAGTGAGGCACCCATCATGCCTAGTGTCTACTGTACAAGCCTGTGGGGGCAGTGCTATGATGTGGGGTTGCTGCAGTTGGTCAGGTCTAGGTTCAGCAACAGTTTGTGCTCAATGAGGTCATCTGACTACCTGATTATACTGAATGACCAGGTTATTCCAGCAATGGATTTTTTTCTTCCCTGATGACATGAACATATTCCAAGATGACAATACCGGGATTCCTCAGGCTCTCATTGTGAACGAGTGGTTCTGGGAGCATGAGACATTTTCACACATGGATTGTCCACCACAGAGTCCAGACCTTAACCCCATTGAGAATCTTTGGGATGTGTTGGAGAAGGCTTTGCACAGTGGTCAGAATCTGCCATCATCAAAGATCTTGGTGAAAAATTAATGCAACACTGGATGGAAATGGATCTTGTGACATTGCAGAAGTTTATTTAAACAATGCCACAGTGAATCTAAAGGCAGTCCAACAAAATATTAGTGTTACCATTTTTTCATGGTGGCAACCTTTTTTTTTTTTTTTTTTTTTTTGGCCAGGCAGTGTATTTGTGTATGTTACCAGTACATATTTAATTAAAAGTAAAAAAAAATAAAAAATTGTGTAAATATCTCACGCAACAATGTGAACAACTGTGGCTTATAGACAAGTACGTCCTACATATGTACAAAATGTTTTCTTTTTATATTTAGTGGGCGTGGCTTATATTCAGGTTCACTCAGTAGTCTGTAAATTACGGTATATTTTGTGTTGTGTGAGCCGTGTTGTAATGTTGACCCTGAACAGCACTTTGGTCTGCTGTGGTGTGTAAAGTGTTTTACAAATAAAGTTGGAGGGGATTCTTTTTTTAATCTTAGAGCTGAACAAAGTTGTAAGAAGTCTGAGATTGGCTGATTGCTTTGTTACCATGACTACTCAGGACGGTTCTGCATTTGAGACTAGAGATGAACACACTGACAGGAGGAATGTGCATTTTTCTTTCAGTCATCACGAGATGTGACACGCAACTTGAAATCAACATTTTGGTGTCTGTTAGACTGTTTTTTCTTAGCATTATAGTCCAGAACTTGAAGAAAAGATCGCATCTCATGTGGTGGAACGAGATTGTGTACAGGGTCCCAGTTACATCCAGCAATAAAATAAAAACGGTAATAAGATCTAAGATATGAACTAAGAAAAACATCGACTAAATATACGCTAAGCACTAATAGCATAAAAACATTACGTCGAACAGCAGCACGAACATGAGTCTGTGTGAGCAGATGAGCACGCATGAACACCTCAACATGAAACAGATCAGCAGCAACATGAAACAGATCAGCAGCAACATGAAACAGATCAGCAGCAACATGATGTAATTCTTCACAGTGATTATCCTGAATAGAGATTCATGAGTCTAACAGCCTCAGGGTAGAAGCTGTTCCTCAGTCTAGTGGTTCTACACTTAATGCTCCTCAACTTCCTTCTTGAGGGGAGCGGGGCAAAAAGTGAGTGTGCTGGGTGAGTGGGGTCCTTCATGATGCAGGTCTGTCTACAAAATCTACAACCATTTCAGTAAACCTTTCATTCTTTAATTCCCTCTTTGTCATTTGGACTTCAGATTTTCCTCCCGCTGGACACACACAGACTCTTAAGCTGTTCAGTTTTTGCAGCTCAGGTTTCACTCTGTTCTAGAAACCCTGCTGTCCCGTCCTCCCTCAGTCCTCTTCCTGTGAACGGTTTGAGTTTTTTGTTTTTGTAGGCTCACTGTTACTATTAATGGACCAGGAAGACATTTGAACTGAAACCAGACTAAAGGGATATTGGACCAAATAATCTGTGACTTTTGGTGCATGCTTTGTTGAAAAATATCTGGAGTCAAGTATCTTCGGCTGCAAAAACCAAAGATTAAGAGCAGAGCTCTTTAAAGGAGCTTTGGTACTTTTAATTCTTGGGAAACAATTGTAGTCTTAATAAAATGTCAACGTTTTGTTTCAGATCAGATCATTTTGTGTTTATTTTTTTAGCTTTACACCATCAATTTTCTGAACTGGCTCTAAATTATTGAGTTGTGGTGGAATAAAACTAAACTTTATTCCTTCGTCCTTTTCAGTGCAGAGATCAGAATCATCTGAGGGTTTGACTCCGATTATTATAGCAGCATTTATGACACAACTGGCAGCTTTTTAACAAGTGCATCAGTGTTCTTATGACCTTTCTGTGTATAAACTAAATGCTGTTTTTTAAAGCAAATCGTTTCTGTTCCTAATTCCAGTTTCCCTCAAGCCACCAATCAGACTTTGTTGGATAAGTTCAAGCGGCAGCATGAAGGAAACAGCTACATCGAGTTCCCCGCTGTCATGGAGCCCGCCTTCATCATCCGACACTACGCTGGCAAAGTCAAGTACGGCGTCAAGGTCAGTTTTACTTTCACAGAAACCCTAAAGGACGTTCTGCCAATTTCAGCTTCTGCTTTTCATGAAGAGGTTAAAGTTCTGTACGACGTTAAGATCATATCTCACTGGACTGCTGGTGACTAGTTGGTGGACAGGATTCGCAAGAGGACTCCCCAAAGTGTCTCAAAACATTTGTGGGTTGTTTGTGGGCGACTGTGACTGAGTGGTTATAGCAGTCATCCTCCAATGCAAGAGTTGGGGGTTCGAATCCACCAGCAGTCACATGCTGAAGTGTCCCTGGGCAAGACACTGCCCATTGTCTCATTGCCTCCGATGTGTGTCTCATTGGTGTATGAATGTGATCTAAAGCACTGATTAGCCTTTTTAGAATGATCTGTTCATTTAGCTTTAGAGAGATCTAGTAGAGTGCTGTATGAATGGGTAAATGAATGCACAGATTGTGTTGTGAAGAGCTTTGAGTGTCCTGATGAGATAGAAAGGAGCTATGTAAGTAAAGTCCATTTACATCTTGGCGTGACAACAGCCTCCAGGATGTAATTAAATATGGTCGTTTCCACCTTCTGCACCACTCAAGCAGCCACAGAGTCTTATGGTATGTGTTAGAACAGTGATTTATTTACAGTTGTGAATATTACTGACTCTTGGGAGTCTTAGCAACATCAGGGAGAGCCCAGTCCAAAACGACAAACAGAAGCATCTAACTTCTATTTTTTCCTCTTACCTCAATAAAATAAAATGAACCAAAATACAGGTCTATTACCTCAACTAAACTAATGAAACACAGGAGAAAAAGGTCTTAAAATAAAGTGGCAGCTCACTACAAACTCCTCACAAAAATATTTACAACTAATTAATCTGACGAGTGACAGCAGGTCAGCTGTGGCTGGTTGGGAAGTTCAGAGTGGACGATGACGTCATCACAGACTCTGCTCATTTTATGCAGCACCTCTCGTCAAGCAGCCAGTCTTCGTTCAGCTCCTCGGTGTCTTCCTACAATCACAGCTGTGCACCTGGACAATAATTTTCACACATATAACAGCTTGCACACACACATTAGTTGGGGGTTTCTCAGTTTCCTCAGTTTATTTGCAAAGGCTCATTGTCTCATTCGTTCGTTTGTTTGTTTGTCATTTTTATTCATTTCATATTTAAAACACAAAAACAATTTCGAAACCAAATGAAAAAAAACACATCATAAAATGAAAGGTAGCAGAAGAAGAAAAAAATCTTATCATATCTGCCCCTTGTTTAAAACAAAATCAATTCAAACAATAATCCTCTATAAGTAATATAACAAAATAAATAACTCATCACAGTTTTACGTATTTATATGTATCTTTCCAAAATTTTAATCTTAATCATTTTCTTAAATATAGGCATTGACTTTACTTTTTTTACATCGTTTTCCAAACTATTCCACAGACCTATTCCCTGAATTGAAGTAGACCGCCCCTTTAAACTGGTTCTGTACTGTGGTTTAACAAAAATGTCTGTTCCCTTAAGATTATAGCAACTTTTCCTTTTTACAAAATACGTTTGAATGTTTGAAGGTAGTGTGTAGTTCTGAGCTTTATACAGTACTAAAAGAATATTATAGTTAACCAAATCATAAAACTTCAATAATTTCAATTGAGAAAATAAAATACTAGATGGATGACAATAATGCTTTCTTGTGATAATTCTTATAGCTCTTTTCTGCAAAATAAAAATGGGCATCGTTATAGTTTTACATGCTGTTCCCCAAACATCAACACAATAAATTAAATGTGGGACTATAATTGTATTATACAGCAAATACAAGGCTTTATCATTCAATAAGTCCCTTACTTTATACAGTACTGCAGTGGATTTAGATATTTTAGTTTTTACAGAATTTATGTGCTGTTTCCATGACAGTTTATCATCAATAATTACACCCAAAAACTTCACCTCACCTACTCTGCATATCTCAACACCATCAACTCTAAAAGGAACATCGACAGTTAACTTTTTTTTTTTTTTACTATATATCATATAATTAGTTTTATCAAGGTTCATTGATAACTTGTTTAATTTAAACCAATTTTGTATTTTGACAAACTCCATCTTCATCAACTCAAACATCAGTTCCAAGTCTTTACCCAAATAAAAGAAAGTGGTATCATCAGCAAAGAGAACACATTTAAGGATACTGGACACCTCAGTCAAATCATTTACATACAAAATAAACAATTTGTAGAATATTAAATCTGTTCAAAAAATGTGTTTGCCCAGTTTTCTGTTGCAATAGTCCTAGTCGCTGCAGGAGTCTCAAGCTTGTCTCCATAGTGAATAATGGAGGCGTATTGTGACGCCTGCACAGTAGCTCTCCACTGACAACAACAAACAAAAAAAAAAACACCAATTTTATATATTTTACGACGGAGCTTTAGGACCATGCTAAGAAAAAAAATAAAATAAAAGCCATAAAATTTTGAGAATAAAGTCGGACGGGACTTTTTTTTTTTTATTTTTTTTACAGCTGTCAATTTTTTTTTCCACGAGTCAGATCCATGACGCGACATGTCAATCAGTCCAGTAGGCGTGTCAGCAAACAACCAATCTGAAGCTAAATGAGTCGGAATATTATCTGAACTCCGACACGGTAAAGCAGGTTTACTGCATTTTAACTGCGGTAAAATGAAGAATGTTTGTTAAACTTTATTGTTATTGATGCTCTTACTCAAAATGTGTTCCAGTACTTCCACCTACTGGTGTGATTTTGCATGCTGCTTCTAGCATGTATATACGTGACATCATTACGGTACGTCATGACTTTTGTTTTTGTTTCCGTTTGAAAACAGCGCTCAGTGAGCGAAACTGTGTAATCTGTCAGCACATCAGCATCAGATTATTATCAATATCAGGACTTTGAACCTGCTTACAGGAAGGTGGTACGCTCCAGCTGTCTGCAGGTAAGGAGCATTTAGCTTCAGACTGGTCATTTGCTGACACGCCTACTTAATTGATTGACGGGTCGTGTTGTGGATCCGACTCATGGAAATAAATACAGAAATAAACGAGAGCTGTAAAAAAGAAAAAAGTCTCGTACGACTTTATTCTCATTATTTTATGGCTTTTTTTTTTGTTTGTTTTTGCATGGCCGTATATATATACACATATATATATATATATATATATATATATATATATATATATATATATAATTTTTTTTACCTGGTCCAAGTCTACCTGTCTTCATTTCAAAAGTGTGCTCTAGTAGATTAGATTATAAGCTTTGGGGAAGCAGGGTATGGTGTGGGTTGAGATAGACAATGAAATGATGTGCATGCCTTAAAGTACAGTGACACAAGTCGTGTACAAAAAATAGGTTGTGATTGTCAAAAAGTGGCTGCTCTAAACGTGGCTGTGTGGTTTGCTGGGCACTTCAGTGAGATTATAAGTAAAATTTACCTTTTTTCTCACTATACTGAGTAAATTTTGAGTCACCAACCAGTCTCCAACAGTTGCGGCCCAGTAAGAAACAACTTCTAACATCTGAGAGCCCTGAGGTTTCCATCAGCTAAATGCAAAGAAAAATAACTGAACAAAGAATAAAAATTGGGAACTAAAAAAAAACACTATTGCCAAAGATTTTAATTATTTAAACCTGTCTGTGTTTCTTGATAAAGACAAATGTTTGTGAATGACAATATCCAGAAAAAGAACAATGATCTATAAATTCAGATGCTTTCAGCTCCCCTGCAGTCAAATGAGCATTACATTGCAAAATGGACATAAAGCATAATACATTTCACTGGATATTTTCTAAAATATATCAAACAAGCAAAAAAAGCTCGTCTTGAATCTGTATTTTGACATTTGATGGTCAGACTTGCAGTAAAGCTGCAGGGAGGAAAATGTTTTCTGCTCATTTAGCGAGGCAGAAATGTGGATTTAAGGTCTCTCAGGAATTATGGAGGCATTTTAATCCCTCTTTAATAATAAACAATCATGTCCAGAAATGTATTAGAGCATTTTTCATCTCATTTAGATAACAGCTTCTAAAAACAGTCAACATCAACTCGAGTCTTCAGAGTCGATGAGTAAATTTTTAAAATGTGCAGACAAAGAGCGCAGCAGCTCTCAGTTAAAGCCACATTATATTTTAGTCTCTGTGTCGTTAATTAGACAGGCTCGATTTTTAAAAATGCCAGTTTTTGCATTTTTATTGGATTTATTTGGTCAAATACAGATAACAGAGCTGGTGTGAGGATGAACTGCAGGAAGTCACGCCAGAAGTGATTTGTTCCACTCCACTGTTTTTAATTTAAGAAACACACACAGCTAGTTTTCATATTTTGATGCAAGACTAAACGTGGCTTGTATTTGTATCCAGTTAAACCATTTTATATCTCGCTGTTATGCACGCAGGACTTCAGGGAGAAGAACACGGATCACATGCGTCCAGACATTGTAGCTCTCCTGAAAAGCAGCAAGAACGCCTTCATCTGCGGGCTGATTGGCATCGAACCGTCAGCCACTTTCCGCTGGGCGGTGCTCCGAGCCTACTTCAGGGCCCTGGTGGCTTTTAGAGAGGCTGGGAAGAGACACACTCACAAGAAGACCGGTGAGAAATCACACGTAGAGAACCTCTGCCAACAGTGGCATCGTACAATACTGGATAGACAGAGTGCGATCTGTAAAGCACATGTCAATCTCAAGGCCCGAGGGCCAAATATGGCCCTTTTTAACATCTTATCTGGCCCCCAAGATGACATTTTAAATGTAAAATGTTTCTATCCCTTTTCATTTTGCCTAAAAACTGAACATTCTTTATTTGGTGCAGACTTCTTCTTGTAGGCCAACATTGAAGACAAGAAAATTTACTTCAAATTTTTCAGTAATCTTTGTTTTTGATGAGAAAAGAGTGACAGAAAAAGTCAAATGAGTCCGATGAAACTCTTGCTGAGGAATCTGCAACCGAGAGAAGATGTCAGGCATTTAACTGGGGTTAATGCAACAACTAAAACTGGCCCTGGCTTTGAAATAAGTTCTTAATTTTGGACCAGTTTTGTAACAGAGTTTGACACACCTTATTCTAGTAAGAAAACTCTGGCTTAAAACTAAAACATGTATCATGGAGCTTTGTAGTGCATAAAGACGAGTTTATTTTTTATTTGTACCTAACATATATACAAAACGGATTCCAAAAAAGTTGGGACACTAAACAAATTGTGAATAAAAACTGAACGCAATGATGTGGAGATGCCAAATGTCAATATTTTATTCGTAATATAACATAGATGACAAATCAAAAGTTTAATCTCTCTGAGTAAATGTAACATTTTAAAGGAAAAATATGTTGATTCAAAATTTCACAGTGTCAACAAATCCCAAAAAAGTTGGGACAAGTAGCAATAAGTGGCTGGAAAAAGGAAATTGAGCATATAACGAACAGCTGGAAGACCAATTAACACTAATTAGGTCAATTGACAACGTGATTGGGTATAAAAAGAGCTTCTCAGAGTGTCAGTGTCTCTCAGAAGCCAAGATGGTAAGAGGATCACCAATTCCACCATTGTTGCGCAGAAAGATAGTGCAGCAATACCAGAATGGTGTTACCCAGCGTCAAATAGCAAAGACTTTTAAGTTATCATCATCAACCGTGCATAACATCATCAAAAGATTCAGAGAATCTGGAACAATCGCTGTGCGTAAGGGTCAAGGTCGTAAAACTCTACTGGATGCTCATGATCTCCGGGCCCTTAAACGTCACTGCACCTCAAACAGGAATGCCACTGTCAAGGAAATAACAGAATGGGCTCAGGAATACTTCCAGAAAGCATTGTCAGTGAACACAATCCACCGTGCCATCTGCCGTTGCCAGCTGAAACTCTACAGTGCAAAGAGGAAGCCATTTCTAAGCAAGCTCCACAAGCTCAGACGTTTGCACTGGGCCAGGGGTCATTTAAAATGGAGTGTGGCAAAATGGAAGACTGTTCTGTGGTCAGATGAATCACGATTTGAAGTTCTTTATGGAACACTGGGACGCCATGTCATCCGGACCAGAGAGGACAAAGATAGCCCAAGTTGTTATCAACGCACAGTTCAGAAGCCTGCATCACTGATGGTATGTGGTTGCATGAGCGCTTGTGGCATGGGCAGCTTGCATGTCTGGAAAGGCACCATTAATGCAGAGAACTATGTTCAGGTTCTAGAACAACATATGCTCCCATCTAAACGTCATCTCTTTCAGGGAAGACCCTGCATTTTTCAACACGATAATGCCAGACCACATTCTGCAGCAATCACAACATCATGACTACGTAGGAGAAGGATCCGGGTACTGAAATGACCAGCCTGCAGTCCAGATCTTTCACCTATAGAGAACATTTGGCGCATCATAAAGAGGAAGGTGCGACAAAGAAGGCCCAAGACGATTGAACAGAGGCCTGTATTAGACATGAATGGGAGAGCATTCCTATTTCTAAACTTGAGAAACTGGTCTCCTCTGTCCCCAGATGTCTGTTGAGTGTTGTAAGAAGAAGGGGGGATGCCACACAGTGGTAAAAATGGACTTGTCCCAACTTTTTTGGGATTTGTTGATGCCATGAAATTTGGAAACAGATTTTTCCCTTAAATTGATACATTCTCTCAGTTTAAACTTTTGATCTGTGATTTGTGTTCTATTCTGAATAAAATATTAGATGTTGGCACCTCCACATCATTGCATTCAGTTTTTATTCACAATTTGTTTAGTGTCCCAACTTTTTTGGAATTCGGTTTGTATTTTTTCTGTTGATAAAACTACATAGATATGTTTTTAAAATGGTAAAGCAGATGTTTTGGGGTTTCATGTTGTATCCTGACAGTATACGTGTATTTAGATAGAGAAAAAGAACAGTGGCTTTACTGAAAGGCATTTAAAAGAGAATTTTGTCTTTAATGTGATTTTATGGTACCACTTTACAATAAGGCTCCCCTTATTTAAATTGCTAATAAATAGTGTATAGATACGTTAATTTATCTCTAAACACTTTATAAATCATTAACTGCTTATTATGCATTAGTTAAGGGTGACGAGAGACCAAACTGACCAGTTTCTTGCCAAATCTGTTCACCTATATATTTAATCTAGAGTTGTTATATTAAACATTTCAAACTAAGTTACTACCTTGTGAGCACAATAAGTATTTGGAAACCTAATTTTTTTTACCATTGTCCTTTATCACTCACCCTTAATAATGCATAATAAGCATTTATTAAAGATTTATAGTGTTTATAAAGGAATTAATAGCATATCTATAAACTATTTCTTAGCCATCTGTAAGGGGAGCCTTATTGTAAAGTGGTACTGATTTTATTAGCTCTCCACAAATTAAAATAGCACATAATCACGAAGCAACGGTTTTTAGTCATATTTTCTGACATGAACTGTATTTGATTTAATGCTCTAATGTTATAAAGTTATGGTTTGACGGTTTATCACCACATTTCACGACTATTCATCATATAATGCATTTGTGCTTAGTGCCATGTATGTAGCGTAGCTCTTACGTCTCTGTTAGCCTTGTTTTCCTTTGAATGCACCTTTTCCTTTTAAAATTTGCCTTTAGATTTAGACTTCCTTTCGTGCCAAAGATATCAGCATCAGATGATCTTTCATCTTTGCCAGCGTGTGAATCCGCTTTGCACCCTCTAATGCTTTAATGCTCTTTATTTGTAGATGTAGACAAGTAGATTTTTCTTCTGAAGTCTTTGGCCCTTTGCTTTTTTTTTTTTTTTTTTTTTGCCCGAGGCCGTCTGTTCGACGTCTTTAGAAATATTTCTGCAAAAGCACCGTTGTGGTTTCTACTCTCCCGGGCTGTTATAAATACTATTGAGGTAGAAAATACTTTTATTGTGTTCTCTGAGCAAGCACTCGGAGGAGCTTCAGTTTGCAGAAAAATTTCTAAAAAACAATCCAAACAGACCTACGGAGATGATCTTCCTCGTGTTGTTGTGAATGTTAATCGTCTTCTCTCCAGCAGTCTGTACAGGTTCTCTGTAGTAGAAAAACTGCATTTCCTGATCTCTTTTACTTCTTCGCTGTCTAATCTTTTTTTCTCTTTCTCTCTCTCTTTTCCCGTCTGTCCTTTTTGTTGTTTTTCTTTCCCATTTCCTTCTTGTTTCACTTCTCCAAGGGCATGATGATGCTGCTCCCTGTGCAGTATTGAAAAGTGTGGATAGTTTTAGCTTTCTGCAGCACCCTGTGCATCAGAGAAGCTTAGAGATCCTGCAGAGATGCAAAGAGGAGAATTACAGTAAGGCTGCAAAACTGAATGCAACAAATCAATTAAAACCCACCCTCCACCTACTTTTATGTTGGATTTGGGGAAACTACAGGGACGAGACTGACCAACACCAGCTTCCTAATAGAGCTGTAGCTAAAGTCAAGTGAAAACTGGTTTGAATTTCTGATTTGTGATTTGATTCGCAGCTCTTTTTGGAGACTAGATGCTCGTTGGTCTCTGCTCCCTTCGTCTCCCTCTTCACTTCTCTTGCATGTTTTTCATGAGTTTGTTTCAGTCACTGTGTCACTTGCACGTCGCTGTAAAACGCATGCATTTAAAAAACAAAGAGTTTCATGGTTGTAGTGCTGTGTCTTCCGAGTTTGGTTGAGGGAAGCATCAACTCTGGGTATCCATTTTCCTCCTGATTGTTTGGTTTAGCCATTTATCCATGTGTTTAGTCGGTCGGGCAGCTGAGACTAAAATCTGCCTTTTCTCTGTCACTAATGCAACTTCAGCTGGTGATGGGGATTGAAGACTTGGGAGGTGCTTGACTGAACGGGGATGCTGATGTTTTTTTTTTGTTGTTTTTTTATTTGCAATACTGTCACTAACCTGCTCACAGACAGTTTTTACATGTGGTGCAGGACACACACCTCACAAAGATCACACACACTTCTGTCCACTTGAATGTTCGTCTTTTTGTTGTGTGCGACCTTGCAGCTCCAGATGAGAGTGAAAATGTGCAAAGTGAGGATAAAACTGTGACCAACAGTTTGTTTTATGAGTTTTCTGTGATTTCTCAGCACTGTCACTGATTGGCTCCAAGTCCAGAGGGAAGGCTGATGAAAGTCAACAACCTTAACCAAACTCACCTTACTTAGATTTGAACTTGCCTTGGATGACTGAATGTGGAACAATGTGGGGGTTTAATATGTTTATTTGACATAACTAATCAGCTATTGAAGTCTACAGCCAAGACTAATGCATATAACCCATCATTGTCCATTTTTGCACACTAACCAGCACCTCCTTGTAAACCTCACAAATCTGTGTCACTTTTACTGGTGCATCTCAGTAAATTAGAACATCATCAAAGAGTTCATTTAAGTAATTTAATTCAAACTGTTGATTCATTACACGCAGAGTGATAATTTTTGAGCCTTTATTTCTGGTTATTTTGTTGATTATGGCTTACAGCAGATGGGGGGGAAAATCAGTTAAGTAAAGATTAGAGAATTATGTAAAACCAATTAAAAAAAAAGTTTTTTATTTTTTTTACAAAAATTACTGGTCTAATGAGCAATCATAAAACAGTTAAAACAGGACATCTGGACAGTTTTTTTTGTTTTGTTTTGTTTTTTTCCCTAGAAACATTTCGTTTTTCATCCGAAAGACTTCATCAGTCTGAGGCCTGCCAACCAGATCTGCTGTATAACTAGCCCCTTTTCAACATGGTTCCAACCAGCCCAGAAACTAGCTTTTCACATGTAAAAAGGTGACCAGTCAGTCTTTCAGATGAAAGACAAAACGTTTCTAAAAAGAAAAAACCAGTCCAGATGACCTGTTTTAACTCTTTTGGGGGGATTTATTTGCCTGGATGTTTACATCAGGACTCTAATGAACATTATCTCCATGTACTTTACAATACACACACTCAGTACTTGGTCGGGACTCCTTTTGCATGAATTACTGCATCAGTGGGGTTTGGCTTGGAGACCATTGATCTGTGGACCTGCTGAGGTGTTCTGGAAGCCCAGGTTGCTTTGCTTCCAGCTTGTCTACATTGTTGGGGCAGGCGTCTCTCATCCTTCTCTTGACAAAATCCCATAGATGCTCTGCGAGGCCAGTGATACCATGATCATCAGATCAAATATTGGTACTTCTGGCAGTGTGGGCCTCTGTATGTACTAAGGCTTACTGGAAAATTAAATAAGCATCTTCATAAAGCTTGTGATGGGCCTGCACCCTGTTCAGGGTGTACCACACCTCAGGCCCAATGACTGCTAGAGGTTAGCACCAGCTCCCCTGCAACCTAGAAAGGAAAATGTGGGTAAAGAAAATTAATGGATTGATGCATTGCCATAAAGTTTGTCCTCAGAGGGAAGCATCAAGTGCTCTAGAATGTCCTGGGACTGATGTACTGACTATGGATAAAACCTAGTGCACTAACACCAGCAAATGATATGGCACCCCAAATCATGGGTAACCATGGAAACTTCACACTGGACCTTAAGCAACTTGGATACTGGACCTCTCTTCCTACAAACTCTGGGACCTTGATTTCCAAATGAAATGCAACATTTAGTTTAATCTGGGGCAGCACGGTGGCGCAACTGGTAGAGCTGCTGCCTCTCAGCGAGCAGGTCCTTGGTTCAAACCCCGGTCCAGGGGCCTTTCTGGGTGGAGTTTGCATGTTCTCTCCGTGCATGCGTGGGTTTTCTCCGGGTACTCCGGTTTCCTCCCACAGACCAAAAACATGCATGTTAGGCTGATTGGTAACTCTAAATTGTCCCTAGGTGAGAGAGTGAATGGTTGTTTGTCTCGTTTGTCTCTATGTGTCCCTGTAATGGACTTGCGACCCGTCCAGGGTTTACCCCGCCCCTTGCACAGTGATTGCTGGACATGGGCACCAGCGACCCCTGTGACCCAAAATGGAATAAGCGGGTAAAGAAAATGGATGGATGGATAGTTTAATCTGAAAAGAGGACATTGGACCACTGAGCAACAGTCCAGCCGTTGATCTCCTTAGATCAGGTAAGATGCTTCTGACATCGTCTCTGCCTCACCCGTCTGTCAGGACATTTCAGAGTACTTCATGGAGATGCTGATGTCATTTTTTCATCAGGCCTTAGTACCTGTCTACCAAAAGTACTAGTACCTGGTTTAAGGGTCATGGTATCATTGTATTTGATTGGCCATGCAGACTTACCTGACCTTAACCTTTGTAGAAAAAAGAGACACCAAATCCTGCAATGCAGACGAGCTGAAGGCTGCTGCCAAAGCAAGCTGGGCTTCCAGAACACCTCTGAAGGTCCACAGACTGATGGCCTTCATGCCATGCCACACTGACACAGTAATCCATGAGCAGGAGCCTCGCCAAAGTACTTAGTGTGTGTACTGTGTGTGTACTATACAGTACATTGACATGATGTTCATCAGGTGTTGACGTTTTGTTGAAAAATATTTTTATTGGTCTTGCGTAGTTATAATTTTCCGAGAAACTGAATTTTGGGGTTCTCATCAGCTCTAAGTCATGATCATACAAATGAGAGAAATAAATACTTTAAAAAAAAAACTCTGAGTGTCATGAATCTACCGTATTCTCCAGACAATAAGTCACTTCGGAGTACAAGTCGCATTTATTTAAACGTGTATTTCACAAAGTGCAAGAACATACATTTGATCTGAAATAACAATCAGACACAGAACATACCTGGGATCCTGAACAGGCTTAATTAACGTAACAAGCCAACGAGTCCGATAAACAAATTACCGGTAAATTCACCAGTCTCATTCCACGTCACTGAATCCATTGAATTCTTCTTTGGTGTCGCAACCCCTCCTTTTTGGGGCATTTTACTTGTGTTACGTTATTCTCAGTTGTCTCTAAGTGAATGTTTGCGGTAGTTTTAGCAATAGAGGAACAGCAAATAGTTGTCAAAAGCCTAGAGGGCCCTCTTGCAGCTGCAAGTGGTAATGTTTACTCTTTGGTTCATGTCAGTATGAACATTTAACGCGTCAGTCAAAAATTGAGTCATGAATGGGGAAAAAAATGTAAACAAGTCGCTTTGGGCTATATGTCTCAGGACTGACCAAACTATGAAAAAAAGTGAGGCTTACAGTCCAGAAAATACAGTATATATATTATTGAATTGATTACTGAAATTAACTTTTTGAAGATCTACTGAGAGGCACCTGTAAATAATCTCAGCTGTTTTTTTTTTTTGCATATAAAGGCACAAAACACTGACTACAATAACACTGGAGTGGAGTTTGTGTCAGGGGTGCGTTTGTTTGATCGATGTTGTGCGACTGCTTGTCTCGTCTGTTTTCTATGTACATGTATGTGAGAGTGTACTGTATACTTTTGTGTTCTTTGACTTCATGTCTCTGTTTGTTCGTGATCAGGTATGACCAGAAAGAGTCCACGCACGCCTTTGTCAGACATTCAGGGAAGCAACACCGTCATTGAGAAACCCTCACGGTAAGTGTGCTTTTTGTCAGCGAGAGATTTCAGTTCCTACCAAAGTTTCTCGTGGTCTTACCTGTTCAGATTGAGACAAGTCTGGTAAGAATTTTATATATATTTTAATTATATGTGGAAGCAGACATGTATTTTAGCATGCTATCTTATTGTCGCACTATCAGCTAAATTAAAAGTTAAAGCGGTAGTAAAGAAAAGTAGTGAAAGATAATGAAACTAGAGCAAATTACAAAGCATGGTTCTTATAGCCAGCCACTGAAAGCTGAGCTTTTTATTTCTTGGTTGTCTATATTGATAGGTTAGACAATCTGTAATTGACCGTAGATCAACAACTGATTAATCTTTAGAGTAAACCCAATTCAAGAAGGCTGATACAGCTATCTGAACTTTCTTTTATAATTCAGTCAGTTTCATGGGTATTGAGCTAAAATATGGTTTGATAATGGCTAAGGGTCATTCCCAACTCATACTCTGAACATGCGACCTTGCTTGATTTAGTGCATTATGCTATTTCGCTAAAGTTTGACCAAAATTGCTAAAACTGTCAATTCTCTGAAGGGAGCTTCTAAAAGAACAACAGAGTTGTGAGCTGCAAAATATAGTCTATCAAATCACATAAAAAATATTTAATCCATTCTATTTCAGATTATTAAGAAATATATTTAAACTTTGCATACTTAAAGTTTTGCATCTCAACTGAAAATATTCAAGCACAGAACTTTTTGTACTTTAACTCATGGATGGTTTCATCACGGGGTTTCTTTTACCGTCAGTGTTTTGTCTAATGGAGAGATAATAATTAAAAGGCAAACCCTAAATACCCCTCTAGAAGATGCTCTGGAAGAACTTCTGTCCTTCATACATCATGATCTAGACCTTTGGACATTGACTGTTATTTACAGTATTTTTCAGACTATAAGGTGTACTTAAAATCCTTGAATTTTCTCAAAAATCAACAGCGAGCCTTATAATCCGGTGCGCCTTTTGTATTAATTCTGGTTGTGTTTGCTGACCTCAAACCGATTTAATGTGGTACACAGCGCTCAAAAATCTGTCATAATAAACTTATTTCGCTTAATGTGCCTTATAGTCTGAAAAACACAGTATATCAATTTAAACAAAAACATTTGTGTTCCGAGCGATGACTGCGTGATGCCATCATGCCTCTACCTTGTGACCACAATCCATCATTTCCTCTGTAGACCTTGATGTTTACGGGAACAGCTATGACTTTCAGAGCAGTGACGTTTCAACAAGCCTGCTTTTGTTATCCAGGAGCACAGTGTGAGGTTGGTTAAAGAAAAAAAATCTTACTTTACGTAATGTGTGACCTTTGGCCTCCTTCTGTCCCTCTCCACACATTGCCTACATTCTCGGATAGCGCTTAACCCTGTCCAGCTGCTTCCTCCGTGATGTAAAGTCAGAGCTATGCAACGGAGAGGATCGTCCGGGGAGAGATAAATATTCAGCCCCTGCAGGGTGCTTGTCAGCTGAGCAGAACCGCAGACAGTGCAGTACTTTATGGGACTCTCAGTGAGACTATGGAGATAAACAGTCGGTACAAAAGGCGTATTGTAATGTCAACGCGTATCGAGATCGATGATCAACAAGGGGAAAATTCTTCTCTGCGTGGCAGGCCAGATTCAAACAGATAATTTACAAATACTAGATATTTTGGCACCAAGCTTCAGTGTTGGATTTGAGTATGGACAATAAGCCGTTAAACACTTCTTCCATTACGAAGTATAAACCCAAAAAGTGTGTATGATTTGAAAAGCTTGGACTTGTTGCTTATTCTGTAGTAATTCATAAAAGTGTAATGTAAACCTGGTCTGTGGCGCAAAATGTATAACTGTACTGCTCCTCTGGGACTGTAGAGTAGAACAAAGGACAAGGGAGAAGTCTGAAGAAGCATCTGCTCAGTACATTCATAAAAACACTGTTTCCACAACACTGAATGTACTGATCCCAAGTTTTAGACATTTTACTAACAAATGTACAATTACTCTGTCAAATGAAGTTTAAGCTTTCTGGATTAATGTGTTGACGTGTAAAATGAATTAAATTGTGTATGTACTTAGCTGGACTACAGGAAGTAAAGTGGTGGTTTAGCTTAATGCTAACATTATCTTGCTCACATTAGCTCATTGCCCCATAAACAAAGCCCCATGGATGCTTAAAGAATGCTACGTTTTAACTAAACCAAATTAGTTTGAGTAGTTTTTAAATCTAAAGAGAAAGAACTTGTGTTTTACTGTATTTTCTGCCATAAAAGTCGCACCGCCATATATGTCGCATCAGTCCAAAAATGTCTAATAAAGTGGGAAATAAAAACATAAATATGTCACTTCGCCGTATAAGTCGCATCTATTATGCATCACCGCTGACCACCCGGAAACGTGGGTGGGTGTTGTGCCAAAAATTAATTTGCTGCCAAATGGCAGGAGCATGCACGGGAGGACTTTAACAGGCATTTAACAAGATTAACACTTAAAAACAATTATTTGTTTGCTCGAAATTATATCAAAGGTGTGTATCAGTTTAACTTTTCCTTAATAAATACACTTTGACGGTCAAATCAGCTGCATTTGAAAAATCGATGCGTGGCTGCAGGAGCACACAGAGGGAGGTCTCAATGTGCATTTCTTCGAAATTTAACAAGATTAACACCTAAAAACAATTTGGTTGCTCGACATTATAGTAAAGGTGCGTCTCCGTCTAACTTTTCCTTAATAAATTCACTTTAATGGTCAAATCAGCTGCATTTCTCCTGGGCGGCGAAATGCAGCTGATTTGACATTTGCTCCAGGAGTTCAGGAGCAAGACGAAGGTGGCTTGGTATGGCAAGCCAAGTGTCTCATTAATAGCCACTTTTACCTATTAATGAGACACTTGGCTTGCCAGAATTCTCGAGGGCCCTCTAGCAGCTGCAAATGGTAATGTTTAATACTTTTCATGTCAGAATGAATGAAATCGTCAGATCTCAGCCAAAAATTAGGTTAAAAATATGGGGGAAAAACGTATCGCTTCACTGTATATGTCGCAGGACTTGCAAATTTATGCAAAAAGGTATGACTTACTGTATATGGTGAAAAATACGGTACATTGATTTATGATTTTAAAGTCTTGTCAACACTGAAACATTTGTTTTAGTGAATATAATAAAGTGTATTTTATTGTGAAAGCTCTGCATCTACATGGGAATGGTGTTTTTGAAGCCATAACCTGTATTCTTTCAAAAAGGGGTTTCAGAGTGAGAAACCCTTGAAACCTCATCCTTGTGTTTGTGTGTGGATAGCCAAAACGCAACCTTTTCAAAACTGTTATAGACCCATGTCTTTGTTGTGAGTCCACAGAAAGGATTCAATTCTTGCTGATGTAAGCTTTGCAGCCTCGTTCATAAGACACCTCAGTTCGGGACTGGCATGGGTTGACCTCCTTGGTCCACTCAGAACACACAACGAGATGGTGAGGGGTGTCATAGGCAGCGTGTCTCTGGTGCACATCTGTGCTGCCAAGCGTGGTAGTAACAGGACTGGCCGATGCATGAAGAAAAAGAAAAAAAAGTGGAGCTGCAGCTCAGTAATGTGATGAACTGACAGGATTAGTTGCGACCGCCTGCTCTAAACAGCAAACCGATGTATTACCAGGAGAATATTGATGATGCCACACAGCAACTTTGTAGTTAATTAAAAAAAATACTTCACCACAAATAGGATCGCTAAAGTGAGTTAATTCATTAATGACACGATGGAGACGTCCGACGCACATTGAATGCATCATGCTCTGCTTCAGCCCAGCAGAGTTCTGCTCCACGCCTCTTTTGGTTCTGCCCGAAGCTCACATCTGAGTGGGACGTGACGGCTACATCTGTAATTTATGAACAGCTGGAGGAAGCTTAAAGACGAACTTGCCTACGTGTCCATTTCGCGGAGCTGTCTTCTGAATAGGCCTTATGTTTCATGTATTTAGTGTATTTTAGTGGCAGCATTACAGCGCCACATACAGGCCAAGCGTAGTGACTACAGTGTTTTGGATAGTTTTCTGCGCAGATCAAAGCACTCTTAGAAACTGTGCCGTGTTAATGAGGATATTTTAAAAACAGACGAATATAAGTATTTTGGGAAAAAAGTTTCTTTGTGAACTAGGCCTAAGTTGCTTCCACACAATTTAATACAGTTCAGCACTGGAAACTGTTTAACCTCAAAAGGTTGCGTTTGAGCTACTGTAGCTTCAGCTTTGTGTTTGGACAGGATTTTATTTCTCAGCTCTTAAAAGCACCTCTACGTTCTGATTCAGACACCTTCATGACGCAGTATGAGCCAACAAATGCTTTATCCATGTGTGTGTTTTGTACTATGCTGAAGGGATTCTTGTAAATCTACAAAGGAAGATAGTGGAAACAAAATAAAATGTTCCGCTGTGCTGGAACATTTTAATAAATTGCCACTTGTGTAATGTTGCTCTTTTTTCCATCTTCTTGTTAGAAACTGTCTTTTATTTCTCGCTTTTTATTGAATATGTTGGAGTTTTTTTTTCCTTCTGCCATCTGGACTGCAGAAGAGTCCTGTCTGGTTAAAACCATGTTCAGACCTCATGTGTTTGTGTTGTGGGCGAGTGGTTTGGTTTTACCTTGGCCTGAGGTTTTAAACCTCTGAGTATAAATTCTGGTCAACTCTTCATTGGGACAAAAGGTGGAAAATGCTGCTGCTGGAGGGGTTGCTCATGGGAAAAATATTAATTTTACATATAAACAAGGCACTGCACTGCAGTTTTGAAATATGCATGCGTTTCAGTAAATTAAAGTTTTTATTCTGGAAACAGACCTGTGCTAAAGGACAAAACTACACTTTAATACAACTTATGCATGTTTTCCACAGATCTGAGGGGTGCCCAAGCCTGGTCCTCAAGGGCCACAATCCTGCATGTTTTAGTTGTTTCACTACCCATCAGTAGTTCAAGTTCAAGAATCTTTATTATCCTCAAGAGGCAATTTGTTTCACAGTCAGTAGGCACACAAAACATCCATACCACACAAGACATTAAAATACAGTACATCTTTGTTCATTGAGAAGACTGATCGCTACAGGGATCAATGAGTTGTTCTGTCTGATCATCCTACATCTGGGCAGCAGATACCTGCATCCAAATGGAAGCAACCTGAACTCACCATGGAGTGGGTGATCAGGATCTGCCAGAATAAGTCTTCAAGTTGTGCAGAAGCCTGTTAGTCACTCATTTATTCAAACCCAGTGTTTCAAAACAGAGAAACCTATAAAACATGCTGGATTGTGGCCCTCGAGGACCAGGATTGGGCATTTTTTATGCATCTGTGTTGCATCCTGGGAAGGAATTGCTTCAACCATGTCAGCATTTGTAGCAGCAGTTGACCAACTCATCAGAGTCATAATGAAGCAAAGCAGTCAGCAGCTTTGTGACTTTTTCAGTTGTAGTTGTGCTTGATTTCCAGCAACACTTTTTTTAAAATAAAGATGACATCAGAGCTTATTGTTCTAAGTAAACATGTGTTTGGTGAGAATCTAATCGTGGCTGGACTGAAGGTTTTTATGGCTTTGGTGCATGACACCACCAACACGTTTAACAAAAACTTGTGTGACTGCATCTCCTCGTGACGTGAAAACTGGTCATTAAAGTTTGTTGGTTCTGTCTGCAGGAGTTCTCCGGGGCCCAGCTGGAACAGGCGTGTTGGTCGACAGGGCCGCTTGTCGTCCGGCGGTTCCACCACAGACGAAGACGGCATCTTTGTCAACTCTGCCAGCAGCAAACTCCTGGAGAGAGCCCATGATATCCTGATGTCAGTGACTAGACCAAATACTTGGTGTTCACGTTACTGAAGCTGGTTTACTTCTGTTCCCGTCGTTAAATTGAACTAGTTTCACTCTCGTTTAAATGTACAGCTAAAGTTCGGCTACTAGTTCGGAAGACATCTTTAAATTCTGCAATTTTTTATTTTTTTTACCCAGGATGCTTTTTGTAGCAACAAAAATTTGGTGCTCAGTGTGAATTCTGTTGTACAGTATTATCCTGCTGAAGAAGCTGAAACTGAGACGTTAAAGTTAAAACAAAGAGAAGAAAAGCCAAAAGGAACTAAATGAAAGCTAACAGCTAACATTGGTAAACCTATTGTTAAAATCTGAAATAAACTAAGCAGCTAAATGTAAATGTTAAAAACGTAAAAAGTCAAATTTAGCTAAACTGTAGCTAAAAGCTACATTTTGCAAAGCCATAGCTAACAGCTAAAATGTATATATATAACAGTTAAGCTATTGGTAAAGCTGTAGCTAAAAGCTAAAACTATCTAAATATTTGATAAATTCTAAAATTAGCTAAATATAAGATAAAAGGAGTGCAAGAGGACAAAGACTGAGCAAGTGTGCTGAAGTAGCTTCTATAGAGAACAATGTTTTTAAAGGCGTAGAAGAGAACTTTACGTATTTTTATGTGGATATAATGTGGTAAAGTTAAATAATTCAAAAAGTATGAAAGTTACAATTTAATAATTTGTATAAACCATTCTGGATAGAGCCAAACATTTTAACATAAATGGCTAAAATAACAAAGTTTGTAAAAGTAGTTTCATTGCAACAAAATGTATAGAAGAAACTAAATGAGAAAACAATGATGTGAATGCTGACTCAGCATTACGCTCGTTTAAAGAAACAAGCATAATTTAGTCTGTAATGTGTTGAAACGTCTGAGTTCCTACTAGCTCAGTCAGCTCCGTTCTACCTGACCTCTGACCTCAGAAGAGAGGTCTTCCTCCCCAGACAGGAGAATAAAGTTCCACCTCACTATGACCGTCTCAGGAAGCATCCTTTTGATGAATTTAATGCTGGTTGATGTTAAAGAAGTCCCCGATCATCTGCTGATTTAACAAACTTTGTGTATTTTTATTGTTTTAAACAGGAGGAACAAAAACTACAAATCCAAACCCATTCTCCCAAAGGTACAGTGCTGCATTATTTAAAGTTAAAGGTATCATCTGCATAGAGAAGCAGGCAACAATTAGACCTGTCGCGATAAACAATAAATCAATGACAAAAAGCTCAACTCCGGGGCTCTTCACTGACCCCTCCCTTTCTATTTTCGCTTTAAAATCTATTTTCGCTTTAAAATCTATTTTAACGATCTAAAATCATGTTTTTGGATCGTTACAAGCAGCTAAGCTGAGAAGCTAAGCTACGAGCTAAGCTAACAGGCCGACCTCGGGGAAAAAAACCTCCGTCTTGTCGAAGCTCCAAAATTCACGGTTGAAACTCGTGCCTTCTTGTAAAAAGTTTTTTTCTGCATAAAGAAGCTGAGAACTTGTTTACTGAGTTTTTAAATTAAAAGCTTTGTGTGAAAAATGTTATGCTAAAGAGCTCAAACCACAACGAGCATCCACCGTTTTGAGAACCCAAAAAAAAAAGGAAGGAGAGGCAGCCCATGTCACGTTAAGGGGCCGTCCTCCCATTTTTCTTGGAGAGACACACTGCTCGCTCCCTCACTATCCATCCTTTGGTTCAAACAGTCTTATACTGCCATCTGGTGGTCAAAAAGGTACTACACTCAAAATAAAACTAACCAACCTCCCTTCTTAAATTTGACAATAATTACTAATGAATGTAAAATTTCAAACAATATTATCGTTTATCGCAATAATTTCTGAGACAATCACCCAGCAAAATTTATCGTGACAGGCCTAACCATAATCTTTTAGTTTGTTTTTGTGTGCATGTATTCGTGTGTCTGTTAGCAAAATGTCTCATGAACCACTAATCAAAGTTTAATAAAACTTACAATGAATGATCATTGGATATTCAAAATAACAGATAATCGTTTGAAGTCAACATATTTTAAAATGGCCGTCACAACTAATCAACCTGTTCAGACACAAAAATGTCTCTAATTCATTCATTTTTACAGAAATTCAGCTAAATTTTTGTGGTATAGTAGCTCACGCTAACTTACAACACATACTTGAAGCACTAACTGATTGTGCAAGGTCTGTGTTCAAAACTTTGCCATTAACTATTGGAGTCACATCTGTCTGTCTGTTAGCAAAACATCTCATGAAAAAATGAACAGATTTTATTGAAACTTTTAGAAAGTTATTATTGGATGTACATCTTCAACTGGTTATGTTGTGGAGTCAACCCAGTTCATGGCCGATCAAACGTAGTAAACAAAACAACGGTTATAATTCACTTTCATGAGTATTGAGTTAAACTTTAATCTGGTAGTAGCTGAGAGTCATTTGAAGCACACAAACTGAGCATGACATCTCATCACCTTTTTTTTAGGGTTTGACCAAAGCAGCTTTAACTCTTGTCATTTTTTAAAGATGTTAAAGTAAAAGTGAGGCCTTCCATGAAGAAAGGCTGGGCCTTTATTTTAAATGTCACGTTCGATCTGAGACTCTTTGTGTTTTGCAGCACTTACTGAACGTGAAGTCACTGAAGTACCTCAACAACCTGACGCTTCACGACCGCATCACCAAGTCGCTGCTTCACCTTCATAAGAAGAAGAAACCGCCCAGTATCAGCGCCCAGTTTCAGGTCCGCCGCACACACTGCAGCGCTCCCACCGAAAAATAACACGAGAAGCACAAGCAGCTTGAGAAGTCCTTCTGCAGCTGTGCATACAATAAAAAAAAATCTTTACATACACGTTGTCATGGGAGAAGACTTATTTCAGTTTCTGTCAGCAGCCTTTACTGTCAGTGATGTAAACCTCCATTTTGCCAGTGTTTGGGAGTTTCTTGTGTATTAAAACCCACCCACGAGTCTCACTGTATGACATCATGTCTGGTAATTAAAAAAGATTTTATGTTTTTGAAAAAAGTTGCAAAAAGAAGCCAGTGCTCATTCATGGAAACATTTCTTAAGAATCAGTAAAAATAGGTTTGCAATCCTGTTTTTATCACTGGCAGCCAAAGTCTTGGTAAAATGTCTTGTTTTCGCCCTCTCAGAGAGCGAACAGCGTGCTGAGGCTGCAGGAGCGTCCGAGTGCTGAGGCCCCTTTGGAAGGCCGGCAGCCCGAGTCCATGTGTGGATGACCTCACCTTCCACATCCTGCGCCGCTCTCATTGCTTTAATCTCCCATGAAGGCGGAGAGACGCCAAATTCCTCCTGCCACTAAATTATTGCGCACACATGCACATGTTCATACGTTTCTTTGGAATGCGAATGAAAACGTTGCATCCTTTATTTCTGGGGTACAGATGTGCACACAAACAAAATTAATTAAAGTGATTTATCTTTTGGTGTTGCTTGCAGATGGAGCAGCAGTTAGTTCAGCTGTTGTCTGCCACACAGCCGAAGTGTGTTTGAGCCGGTTTTATATGCCTTGTTTGTGTTTCTTATCCTGCAGGCTTCTCTCAATAAGCTGATGGAGACTCTGGGTCAGTCTGAGCCTTATTTTGTCAAATGTATCCGTTCCAACGCCGATAAGGTACTGTTTGCTCAAAGTATTTTGACATTTACTTTGAAGTTGGTACTGCTTTTATTTTTGTAACAGTTTCCCCCTCTCTGTGACCTTTGCCTCTCCTTGAATCTCTTCCTTTGGCTTCCTGTTTCTCAGCTGCCCTTACGCTTCGATGATAACCTGGTGCTGAGACAGCTGCGGTACACAGGTATGCTGGAGACGGTGCGCATCCGGCAGTCAGGATACACCATCAAGTACAGCTTCAAGGTGACACTTTCAGCTTGTAAACACCCATTCAGAAAGGCTACTTAGAAAATAAAAGTTGCAGCTACAGTGTGTCACTGGGCTGCAACCGTTGGAGACTAGCTGCCGAATTCACAAGGGAGTCTCCAAAATGTCCCGAAACGTTTGCAGAGATTCTCAGTGTCCTCACGAGTCACAGAAGCTTGCAGTGTAAATAGAAATGTTAACGTTAAAAAAAAGTGCAACACGTTTCCTCTCCTAAAGTAATGAGTCGGTAATCAACAGAGTTGCTCATCTCGAACCCTTCTCAGTTCCTCCGGACGGACACTTCTTGTTGAAACATTTTGTCTTTTGTCGGAGGAGCTACAACGAACTGGTTGATCCACTATGAGAAGGTGTTGCTTATAAGACTGAGTTTGCTGCAGCTCTTCAGACTGAATAAGTCCTTTAGATAATAGATGAAACGTTTCAGCAAAGAAGAATCCATCCAGAGGACCTGACTCACCTTTGTTACACCTTCTCAGTTTAGTTTCCATACCTCTAGAGCACTAGAGCTTTATTTTGACATGAGAACTCTACTTATGTCAGAAACTATTAAAAGCTACAGCCCTGAACACCCAACTCTACAAACTGCATCAATGATGGTTAATATTTATAGGAAACTAGTTCAAATTTGCCTATTTTCATTACTTAATGTACTCTGGTAGGTTAATGTAAATCATAAGCAAGAGGGTGACTGCCAAGGTGGGTACAAAATGAGCCAGGATGGGTATGATGTGATTGGATTGGTCAGTGAAATACCATATTTTTTCCTGTATAAGTCACAGCTTTTTGCATAAATTGGAATGTCCTGCAACTTATATCGCGAAGCGCCATATTTATGTATTTTTCATTCATCATTTCATTCATTCTGACATGGAAAATATTCAACACTACCATTTTCAGCCACTAGAGGGCGGTCGAGTAATATAGCAAGCGCTTGCCATATCAAGCCACATTCGTCTCGCACCTGGACTCCTGGAGCAAACGTCAAATCAGCTGCATTTCGCCGCACCGCCCAGGAGAAATGCAGCTGATTTGACCATTAAGGTGCATTTATTAGGAAAAATTAAACTGAGACACATCTTTACTATAATTTTGAGCTAACAAATAATTGTTTTTAAATGTAAATCTTGTTAAATTCTTGTTAACGTGTTCACGCTCCCGCGGCTGCCATTTGGCGTTTTTTGTCACAACACGGGCCCACGTTTCCGGGTGGTTAGCGGTGACGCATAATAGATGCGACCTATATGGCGAAGCCACATATTTATGATATTTTTTCAACTTTATTAGACATTTTTGGACTGATGCGACTTATATGTCGGTGTGACGTGTACGGTGGCAAGTACGGTACTGTGCATGGCCAAGAATACAGTTTTATACAATATTAGGTTGTAATTTTCAAAAACTTATTGGTTCAAAGTGTTGCCGCACAACTCACTAGTTGCAAACACTCAGAAATGAGTGTGACTGCAACTTAAATTTTCTCTGTTTTTCTTTCAGCGTTAGAGTTTGGTTGATGCTGCCTTTAGTGGGCACAGAACTAATCAGACAAAAACCTCCCTCCTGCAGAGGTATGGAAAACTGTTATGCATGGTTTTCTTCAGGATTAGAGTATTTGACAAGACTTATGAGCTAAGCCTTGTGTAATAAATGGGGGGAAATTCCCCCTTTTAAAAATATTTGTTTTCAAAGATTTTCCTAGTTTTTCACCTTTGGCTCAAAATACCATAAAATCGTTTTTCCACAAAGCCTTACTCACCAAACTAGATGTTAGGCAGCAGACTGAATGAACATCTCTCCTGTGTGCACCACAGCTCACTCAGAGCCCGTGATGAATTCATCTCCAGGAAACCTGTCCTGATGCACTGTGTTTTGTCAGGAGGGAATTTCTGAGAGTGGGACATGGCAGCCATCTTTAACCACACGGGCTCTCAGAGGAATGATGTCAACCCTGTGAGAAGTGCCGTTACTAATAAAGAAAATTGTGCCAAAGGCAGATAGTGTTAGCTGTTGGACGGAAAACATTTAGGAGTGGCTGGTTTCTTTTTACACCAGTTTCCATTTTGTGTGTTTTTTTTAATATATATATTGGTGCCAGTAATGTTTTGTGCCAAGGTGTTGGACAATGATTTGTTCCCAGTACTGACTAATGAAGGCGTCACTTCATCAGATTAAAACAGGTTTTCCATGAGAATTAAACTGTCATCCAGGTTTTGTTTTGTGGGATTTGAAGATCTTTGCAATCAAGATCCTGCTGCCTCTCAAAAACCATGCGTGTTTTATTAGATGTTGAATGGTTTTAGCTTTCCTGAAAAACATTAGGCTGCGTCACCGCTCAGCTGCAGCTTACAAGGAGAAATGTGTCATTTAGTTAAACCTTTTAAAAAAGAATTGTGCAGTTTTGAAAAGCAGTGATTTTTATTTAACTGGCTGATAAACAGGAAAACAGTCAAAATGAAAAGTAGTTCAGTCTCTAATAGTACTGAGGTGAGTCCACACGAGGTGGATAAACTTTATTTCTGTGAAAGCAGATATTCAGAGCAATGTAAACTAGAGAAATTGCATTTCCTGTGAAAATTCAGTGTGAATGCTTATTGCTGAAGAACTTGCTGAAAAACAGCTGAAACTGGCAAAACATACTGAAATGTAGCTGAAATGGAAGAACAAGCCTAAGTTAGAAAGAAGAAAGAACACATGTTTTCTGAATTCAGTATAAATAAGCATAAATTAGCACAACAATTAGGAAATTATCTAAAAAAGCTGAAATTAGCTAAAAAATTTTGCTGAAAAGTAGCTGAAAAGGCAGAAAGAACCTTAAACTACCAGAAAGAAGTGAAAAGAGTTGAAAAAAGCTAAAAAAAAAAGAAAAAAAGTGGAATTAGCTGAAAAAGCTAAATTTAGCACAAAACAGCTAAAAAGTAGCTAAAATAGCAGAAAAAGCTTAAACTAGAAGAAACAAACTGAAGGGAGCATAACGAGCTGAAATTAGCAGAAAGAAGATAATTGGGCTGAAATCAGCAGAAATTACCGCACCATGAAAAACGAATATATGTGAAAACAGCTGAAATTAGCTAAAAATGCTACAAAGGCAGCTGAAAAGGTAGAACAAACTTAAATTAGCAGAAAAAAATAAGAAAAAACATGTTTGCCCAATTATGCTGAAAGAAGCAAAAATGAGCACAAAGAAGTGGAAATTATCTGGAAAACTGTAGAAATTAGCAACAAAAAAGCCCAGCTGAATAGTAGCTAAAAAAGGTATAAAGAAGTCTAAATTACCAGAAGGAAGTGGAGAGAGCACATTTTGCTGAATTAGGCTGAATAAAGTTTAAGACAAAAATGTGGAATTATCTAGAAAAACTAAAATTAGCATAAAACAGCTATATAGTAGCTGAAATACCAGAAAAAGCTAAAACTTGCATAAATAAGCTGAAAGGAGCATAACAAGCAGAAATTAGTAGAAAGAAGTTAGAAGACACACAAAAATGTAGTTAGCAGAAATAACCTGAAAGGAGCACACGACAGCTGAAAAAAAAAAACTAGCTGAAATTAGCTGAAAAAAGTTAAAATTTGCACATGAAGCTGAAAGAAGCTGAACCAGAATAAAATGTGAAAGGATCAGTAAAAGGTTGTAAACAGATCTAAAGATTTGAAGGATGGACAATAATACAATATTAAATTTTTCTGTCCTTAAGGAAAGATTTTACTTGTTTCATTCAGCAAGGCAAATCTCACATACATGTATTACAACATCATACTGTAAGTAAGTAAAAAAAAAAAAAATAAATTCTAAGGTTTACTGTCAAAACCTCACACATGCGTTTTCAGAGGTTTTATCAACTGGTACTGGTGTCGTACTTGGCCATCAAACTCGATCTATCCGGTCGGCCAAGTATAAAAATATTAAATTACACAAAACCTCATACAGGAAGCAGTTTTGACCCAGCTCCAATCAGAGTAACCCATACAGTCAAAAAATAAATAAATAAAATGATCTGGAAAAATATAATCTGTGACTTCAGAAATTGAAATAAATATGACAGTTCAACCATAAAAGCAGAAACATGGAAAATTAAGTTTGTACGCTGTCATTTTGGAAAGATGTTAAGTAAATGTAGTTGATGACATGTCTTGGAGAAAAGTTTTTGACTCTTATTTAAATATCTTTAGACAAATGTTGCCTTAAATAAACAACGAATGATAAAAAAAAACCCAATATGCTCTTTTTATTTTTTTCAATTACTCTGAAGTTAAAAATAAGAACTCGTAATAAAGCAAAGTGTTGGGATGATCTCACTCGGGTCATTTCAGCAGCAGACTCTGTCGTGCACAACAAGTTTCTGACAACATATTTGAAAGTCGTGCTCAGCCCTAATGAGAAATATCTGGAGGATGGCATCACTTCTCAGGACTTTCCCGGTCAGAACAGGACTCCTTCGTTGTGCCTGGGCTCTGAAACACCCCCATGCTTATAATTGTATAAACACAGCGTTGGCTCGCCTGTCCACCTCCTGCTGCCCAGGACTCAGACTGCAGTGAATCCAGACAAAGAAGCTCACGTTGAAGAACGCGAGTTGAGCATATTTATGACATGATGTTTGAATTTCTTTACCTGAAACCTCTGCTTCCACTCCCCTGAGAAAAGGTGCTTCACTTTCTGGAGCTGGTGCACGTTAGAGTTGAAGTCCGTCCACATTCAGACTAGAATTGTTATTAACTAGAGAAATAGCATTTCCTGCGAAAATTCAGTGTGAATGCTTATTTTAGAAGAACTTGCTGAAAAACAGCTGAAATTACCTAAAAAATAAAAATAAATTTAGCTGAAATTGAAGAACAAGCCCAAAGCAGTAGAACAAAGCAGAAATACATTGCTGAATTTGGTTTAAATAAGCAGAAACTAGCGCATAAATTAGGAAATTAGCAAAAATTAAAAAAAGGCTGAAATTTGCAAACAAAAAAGCTGAAAAGTAGCTGAAAAGGCAAAAATAAGCTTAAACTACCAGAAGGACGTGAAAAGCATTGAAATGCGAACAAAAATGGAATTGGCTGAAAAAGCTAAAATTAGCATCAAAGGATCTAAATAAAGAAAGAGCAGAAAAAGCTGAAATTAGCAGAAAAAGTTGAAAGGATCAAAGCTGAAATCGGCATAAAGAATTAGGCTGAAACTATCAGAAATTAACATGAAAAAGTGGAATTTATCTGAAAAGAACTGAAATTTGCAAAAAGATGCTAGAAAGCTAGCTGAAAAGGTAGAGCAAGCTTAAATTAGCAGAAGAAAGCAGAAACAACACATTTGCCCAACTATGCTGAAAGAAGCAGAAATGAGCACCAAAAAGTGGAAATTATCTGAACCCCACCCCCTGAAATTAGCAACAACAAAAAAACAACAGCTGAAAAGTAGCTTTAAAAAAACGGAAAGAAGCTGAAATTACCAGAAGGAAGTGAACACAGTTTTGCTGAATTAGTCTGAAAAAAGTAGAAAGGAGTGCAAAAAATTTTGGAATTAGCCAAAAATGCTAAAATTAGCATAAATACAGCTAAATAGAAACTGAAATAGCAGAAAAAGCTTAAACTTGCATGAATAAACTGAAAGGCGCGTAACAAGCTGAAATTTTCAGAAAGAAGTTAAAAGAAAAACAAAAATGTAGTTAGTTTGAAAGGAGCACAAAACAGCTGATAAAACAGCTAAAATTAGCTGAAAGTAGCTGAAAAAGTTTACATCTGCACAAGGAAGCTGAAAGAAGCTGAAGCAGAACAAAAATTGAAAGGAGCAGTAAAAGGTTGTAAACAGGGCTGAAGATTTGAAGGATGTAAAATGAGCTGAATTCATTTCCTATGAGAAAAAAAGTGGCAGAAAAGGCTTAAATATTTCAAAAAGCTAAAGTTGCACGAATACCAAAAGTCATAATACCCTTCTCCTGAATGAGTTGAATGTTTTTGATATATGATTTGTTGAAATAGCACAAAAACTGTAACGAGAAAGAAGCTGAAAAACGTACAGAAGAAAAACTGATCACAGTAGTGTGAGTGATAAATATTCAGACTGACGGCTTCAATAGAAGTTTGTTTTTGAAGAAATGCACAGCAGACATTTCTAATTCCCATTTAATCACGCGTTCGTGTTGTTTTTGTAGGATTTTGTGCACCACTTCAGCGTGCTGCTGCCAGAGGGCACCGCTGCTTCCAGAGAGGGCATCCAGGCTTGTCTGGACCACCTGAGCCTACACGCAGAGGGCTATCAAGTAGGAAAGACAAAGGTACTCAGCATTATTCCCATCACATTTCCTTTAATCATCTTTAATCAAAACAGAATGTCATTTAGGGGTTAGTTTTCTAATATTTTGGTGATTAAAACGGTTGATTATTGATGTGTGTATCCTGGACACAAATGAAACATTTGATGTGTTTGTTAAATACCACAGCCTATGAAAGAACGGGCAAATTTAGGATTACCTCATTTTACCTGAAAGAATGGTCTCTTTGGGAAAAGGAGGTGATGTAGACGGACCTCCATGTTTGGTGTGTCTAAGCATTATGAGCGGACTCTGAGAGAGGGCTCCATGTCTCCCACATGATGTCTATATAATTAGAGAATCGGGCCCTACATTCCAGTAAGTGTGTATCTGGTCAGGGATTTCTGTCAGTTTTGTGAGTGTGTGTTTAAGGAATGTGCGCGTATCTCCTTACTTAAACCAAACGTGTGGGCTGCTCCGATCTGACTCCACCGCGGCCTTTCCCTCTCAGGTGTTCCTGCGGGAGGATGAGCGTCAGCGGCTGCAGACCTCCCTCCACACAGAAGTCCTCCGACTCATCGTCATGCTGCAGCGCCGATTCAGAGCGCAGCTGGAGAGGAGGCAGTTCACCAGGCTGAGGGAGGCGGCCATCTGCATCCAGGTACACTACGGCGCTTTATTTCTGATCATAACTGTGCACAGCTACAGCATCTTCTTTTTGTTGGAGCCTTTATTTTTGAATGCTTTGTTACAAAGGCTGTCCAATAGATATATTTTTTTATTATAACTTTATTAAAGTATCCAAGAATGGAGCAGAAATGTGTTTCTCCAAATAGTGAGGTCCAAGAAATTCTACTAAAAAATTGTTATTTGCTCTGTTTGACTTAGATACATGTAAGTTAAAATCTCTTATTGAATCAAACTTGTTAAAAATAATGATTAATTTAATAATTTAACTAGAGAAATTGCATTTCCTGCGAAAATGCAGTGTGAATGCTTATTGCTGAAGCACTTGCTGAAACATCAGCTGAAATTGGCTAAAAACATGCTGAAATGTAGCTGAAATTGAAGACCAAGCCGAAGTTAGAAGAAGAAAGCAGAAAGAACACATATGTGATGAATTAGGTGCAGCAATGGGTGTAAAAAATAAAGAATTAAAAGATGAAAATGAAGGATGTCTGATTTTATTTAATCAAGTTTCTAAATTTATTGCAATGGTGCAAAAGTTGAGCTTCAACATGAACATATGTGTGGATTGTCTTCAGTTGTTCTGTTTGTCGATCGTTCTGCTTCAACAACAAGTTCAGATTCTTTTATGCATCTCTAATATAAGATGGAACTAGGTTGTTGAGGGCTTTGTAGGTTAGAAGTAAGATTTTTAATTCTATTCTTGTCAGGGAGCCAATGGAGAGAAGCTAAAACTGGAGATATGATCTCTTCCACTAACTCCAGTTAAGACTCTGGCAGCAGCATTTTGGATTAACTGAAGATGTT